TTGCTTGGCGGAACTAGGAGCTGCGGTTCTGTTAGCCACCCCCACCCTGAATTAGTGAAGGCTCTGGGCCTGGCCTGTGCTGGGTGGGGCTGGGGACACAGCGAGGACCAGGCCAGACTTTGAGCAGCTCCCAGTCCTGTGGGGAGGCACTCTCACCCAGGTCATTGTGCAGGTGACTGAGCACAGTAGAGGGGGGTGTTGTGAGAGGACAGGAGGGCCGAGCTCTGAGGGTCTGTGACATGCTGTGGGGCAGGGGACAGTCAGGGCAGGCTTCCCCAAGGAAGTAAGGATTTAGCAGGTGAAGATAGGTGAGCAGGGAGCCAGGCAGGGGACTGGCATGTGCAAAGGCCCTGGGGTGAGAGAAAGGAGGAGTGTTGAGGGACTGAGAGAAGGGGCAAGTGTGTGTGGTGGGGTTGCTGGCCAATGAGGCTGGAGAACAGGCAGGGGTCACCTTAGGTGGACACTTGGAGCCTCCATGAGGCCTTGGCCGTGATCCCTGAGCCAAGGAGGGACAGTCAGAGCTGTGTTTGGACAGTCCCTCTGGCTGTGGCCAGGCAGGCACGGCCTTTGCCGTGATTTCTGTGGGGGCTGTAAGGCCCTGCGTGGCAAGGGAGGGGGAAGGTGTGGGGGGCGGCGGGGAAGAGAAGGAGGTCTGCTCTGGTACTTTGTCGCCTCCCAGGATCTTTGGCAGCCTGCCCACATCTTCAGCCTGCCTCCAGCCCTGCCTGCTCCCAGGAGACAGATGGGGTACCCGGGGGGAGTGTGGCCTTTAAGAGAGGAAAAGTATCTTTAATGCCACTTTCCTACCAAGGAGGTGGAATAGGTAAAAATCGACGTGTTACAGAAATGTAGCACGTAGGAAGTGAGGGTCCCCATGTCCCCACCGAGCAGAGGAAGTAACGCCACCTGACAGGTGTGGAGCAGCTGCTGTACTGGCTCTCTCCCAAGGGCTGTCTGTGGATTAACTCATTTGGTTCTCACGACAGCCTTGGAGGGACCTTCTGTTTTCTCTCTAATACCTGGGTGAGGAGACCGAGGTGAGGAAGGGGGAAGTGGCTCGCCCAGCGCCACACAGCAGCTGGCTGGGCTGAGGTTGGCATGCCTGTGCTTCCCTAGGCCACCTTGACTCCTCAGCCATTATGCGGCCTCTCTGGGCCCTTTGGCACAATTCCTCCTATGCATGTGGCGCTTAGACAGGTGCCTCCTCACGCCTTCCGCCTAAGAGGCCATCCCCCGTGAGGTCCGTTGTTGCGTGTGGAATTGCTTTTCTGAAAAGGATGCTGTTGGTGAGACTTACACATGGGTTGTGAGCTGCCTGTCGATCTCGGTCGTGTCAGCCTGTGAAGAAATAAGCGTGTCAGAATTGGCCACGTGGTGCGTGCTGGTGTGCGTGTCAGAGAAGGGGTCGGCCCGGGTGTTCTGTTGTGCCGTGAGCACAGTGAAGGCCGGCAGGCAGTGTCGGCCCGCGGAGGCTGGATCTGGCACGGAGGATGGCTGTGGCGTGTCTGTCGGGTGGACGGACCCTCAGTCAGGGCGGGACGCTGTGCTGAGCCCATCCCACTGCACAGAGAGGGAAACTGAGACGGGGGGAGGCTGTAAAGTCGGGGAGCAGGGACCCGAATCCAGGTCTGCCTGCCTCTGGAGGCCGTGTGGGGCGGTGTGGTGGCGAGGCCAGGCTGCCTGGGGCCCCAGCCCAGCTCCGTACCTCCTGATCGGGTGACTGGGGCAAGCCATTTCACTTTGTGACTTAGTTTCTTCCTTACAGTGGAGAGGGTGAAGGCGCCTGGGGTCGCCGTGAGGGTGAATTCGCCTGTGCAGAGCGCTTAGGTGTGCCTGGCGGGTGCTGGGGCCGCGTGGGTGTTCCCTCCTCTTAGTCCTGTCACCGCGTTAGCCAGGACTGCAATGCCAGACCCCTACTGTGGGCATGTGGGTTGCTCCCAGGGTTTCACTGTTCCAGCCATAATACCCTCAGAACGGCGGTTCTCAACCTGGGGGTGGCTTTGCCCCCAGGGGACACTTTTGATGCTCACCTTGGTGGGGAGGATGTGCTGTTGGCTTGAGCAGTAGCGACCAGGGATGCGGCTAAGCCTCCTCCCGTGTGCAGAGCAGCCTCCATGACGAGAATCACGCACCCCAGGTAGCTCGGGTCTGAGGCTGAGGCCCAGCACTTGGAAGCTCCGCGCCCAGCAGAAGGTTTCCTGCAGGAGAGCATCCTCCGAGGACACGCGTTTCCACTGTCCGTGTCGCTGAGGTGCCTCCCACGACGCCAGCCTGAGGGGGCTGGTGCCTTCCGCCCACCCCAGCGCCCTTTCTCCCACACTCCCACTGGCAGGTGCTGCCTGTGCAACGGCGGGGTCCTGTCGCTTTTGACTTTGTCTCCTGAGCATGTCCTGCTGTAGGAGCTGTAGGTAAGGTGCAGATTACAGGGCAGGTGACAGAGGCTCCGGGGGGGTCGCAGTGCCAGAAGCCCCCCCCCCCCCCCCCGCCACGTCTGCCTTTACCAGACTTATCCTGTCTGTGCTGTCTGGCACCAAAGCCAGGTCAGGGATGGGGGCGAGAGAGGAAGAACCTGAGCATTGGGAGGAAGGGATTTGACTGGGAGCCTGCCGTGGGCACAGGGCTTCACTCCGTACACACTTATGAAGTGCTCCCTGTGTACCCAGCACAGTGCAGTCCTCCGAGGACCTGCAATGCCCTGCCCTTAGCAGGCTGACACCATAGTGGGGAGAGATCGACAATAAACTGGTAAATAAGTAAGTGTGTAATAACGTCAGTGACAAGCGCTCTTGGAGAATGTAAGAAACATAAAGAGTGAGGGGAGGTAGAGTGGGTGCACCTTTGTCTACAGAGGTTAGGAAGGCTTCTCAGAGAAAGTGACATGTGAGCAGAGGCTGAAGGAAGTGGGGTGGGCCCTGAGGATATCTGGAGAAGAGCACTCCTGATTCAAGGGGCAGCATGTGCAAGGGCCCTGAGGTAGCTGTGTCCCAGTATGATAGAGGCACCACTGACGTAGAGTGTGTTTGGAGGAGTAAAGTGGGGACGGTTCAGATTTTGTAGGATCCTGGGGCTCCTTTAAGGACTTTGCCTTTTACTCCTGGTGAGGTGGGCACACGGGAGGGTTTGAGCAGAGGGGGAATGGGATCTGACTCAGGTGGTCACGGGGTCCCGACTGTAGGAGGGGTGAGGACAGAAGCACTGGAACTCCTCGAGGCCTCACAACCCTCTAAGTGGCAGGAACCACCGTGACCCAAATTTTACAGATGAGGAAACAGGTTTGGAAGGACCCTCCCCAGGCCCCAGTCCATTCCAGGGCTGCCCGCTAGGACGAGACAGTCATCTGAGGGCCTCTCTCTGCCTGGCCCTGCGTCGTCCTGTCAGTCTCTCGTGGATCTGATCCCAGCACTGGGAGATGGAGCCTCTGGGGGAGCCATGGTTCCAAAACCATTGAAAAACAAGACCCACGAGTCAGGCAGATAGAAATAAGAGTGTCTTAAACAATTTTTAAATAATGTATTAGAGTGTTTGAGAGGTCAGGATAGGGTAAGTCAAGTGACACTCGTGTACTCAGCAGCTATTTTAGGAAATAAACCTTGCGAGGGTAGTCAGAGCCCTGTTGGGGACCCCTCTCCGATCGCCTCCCCACTTCCTGCTCAGAGCTGGCTGCTGAGGGCGGTCATTTTTGTTCCCGTCCTGTTCTCTTCCGTGCAGGGTCAGGCGCACCCCAGGGTCTGCCCCCAGCTCCCTCCGTGCCGCCCGCTCCCTCCTGGGTGCACGTCCCTGCTTCAGCTCATCGCTGAACGGCGCGGCACGGCAGGGCACACGAGGGTCTCACTCGCCTGCGGCCACACGGCCAAGAGGCTGCAGAGCACTGCGGGGTTGAAGTTCGGATCCTCCAGACCGCAGGGTCGTCGTCCTCCGTCATTGGCGAGCTGGCCTTCTTGCGGGGAAAACCCAGGCAGGCCAGCCTTGGGGGTGGGATGGGGTGGGGAAAGGCCCGGAAGCCAGGAGGCTTGATGTTGGCTCCCCTCTGTCCTCAGGACTCCCAGACCTGTGTTGTTTTTCATTGTTGCTTCTTTGGTCATAAAATACAGAAAACTGTTCAGCGCGTTTTATATGGTACAGGATAACGAGTCACTGTGAGACCAGGCCCTGTGTAATCGCGGTAGAACACCCTTGGTCCCCAAAACCCTCGCAGAAAGGCGGCCCTAAACACACAAGGCCCGGCGCCCGTCCTGAAGGGGCTGTGAGTGGCCTCTTTCCGGCTGTGCCACCGCGCCTCTGGCTCTGCCGCTCAGTGTGCTGTGCTCACACGTCCTCCCTGTCGTGTACGTCACTAGTTGGGTCCTTCCTATTGTGAGCAGTGCCCCACGGGAGGCATTCACCTGTTTGTTTATCCGCTGTCCTGTCGGTGGACACCTGGTCTGTTTTCAGTTTGGAGGTTACTGTGAGTGTTGCTGCTGAACATTCTAGTACGTGTCTTTTGGTAAACAAATAGACATGTTTCTTTTGGGGGGCTGTGGAATTGCTGGGTCATGGGATAGGCATGTGTTGGGTGTTAATTCTTAACTGTCAAATAGTTTTCCATAGAGGGTGAACCATTTTATGCTCCCACCAGTGGCGAGTCCTTTACGTCCTTGTCGACATTTGGCCGTATCAGTTTTAAAAATTTCAGCCCAGTCCAGTGGCGCAGCGGTTAAGTTCTCATGTTCCGCTTCGGCGGCCCAGGGTTTGCCGGTTCGGATCCCGGGTGTGGACATGGCACCGCTTGTCAAGCCATGCTGTGGCAGGCATCCCACATATAAAGTAGAGGAAGATGGGCACGGATGTTAGCTCAGGGCCAGTCTTCCTCAGCAAAAAAGAGGAGGATTGGTGGCAGAGTTAGCTCAGGGCTACACTTCCTCCAAAAAAAAAAAAAAAAAAAAAAAAAGAAAGAAAAAATTTCAGCCATCCTGGTGGGTGGTTTTAATTTGCATTTCCTCATAACTAATGAGAGTGCGTGTGTTTCTTGGTTGTGTAGCTGTCCTCTCCCATGAGGTACTCTTGCTCTTTTCACTTTGCCTGCCAAGTGGGTCACCTCTAGCCTTTAGCTGCAGCTCTGGCCCCGGCCCTCAGCACACCCAGCCCCGGCCCTCAGCACACCCAGCCCCGGACACCCTAGGAAGCAGCGAGTGGGGCTGGGGCCGTGCGGGTACTCCCCGCGTGGGGTGTGCTGCCTGTGGGCAGGCGGCCAGGGCAGGCCCCTGCATGCTGCCACCCGGCTTCCAGAGGCTGGTCTCTGTCCTCCCGCCTGGGCGTCCTCCGTCGGCAGCTCCCCGGGGAGCAGGCCATCCTCTTGGCTACAGTGCCTGTGTTTCATCACCTCGGGACTGCGTCACGGACACCCCGCTGAGGCGCCACCCTCAGTGGGAGGACGGGACAGGATCCTGGCAGGACACGAGGGATCCTCCACTTCCTCCCGCTGCCCTCGCACAAGCTTCTGCTGGCCTCTGAGTCGCTGAAATGAGCATGTAACCAGCAGCTCTGTGTACCGAGCAGTGGCCAGGGCCCCGCCACTCAGCTGGGAGACCCGAGGTAAATGGCGTCCCCTCTCTGAGCCTCTCCCCGCCCCGGGCATGGTCACAGCCCCTCCGTGGGGTGGTTGGGAGTGTTCTGGAGACTGCGCGGGGGCTCCGGCACCTTCTCCAGGCCCCTGGCTGGCGGTGGCTCTTGGACTCTGCATCCCTGACTGCTCTCGGCCGCACCTGGCTGCCTTCACTTCTCTCTTTCTGATCGTGGCAGCCACATGTTTGGGTGTCCACTGGGAGCCAGGCAGGAGGCCAAACGTCTGCACACAGTGGGTGCTTTAGCGCTGCTGCTGAATCGCGGAGGCTTGGAGAGGTGAGGTTGCCAGGCCGGGCAGGAGAAGGGAGCGGGGAGCTGAGGTTGGACCCTGGCCCCGTCCTTTCCTTTCACATCCGCCCTTCCTTTGACCTCGCGTTCTCCATGCCAGCCGTTGGGGCACTATCCCGAGCTGAGCTCCGACCGACGGGGCAGGTGCGGCATCGGCCCCTGTGCAGAGGAGGAATTCCCAGCTCCCCCGCAGCCTCCAGGCCCTGGGGTTCTCCCGCCCACCTCTCCTGGCTCCCAGCCCTTCGCCACAGCGGCCCCTTGGCAGTCTCAGGCTCCTTCCTGCCTCAGAGGCTTACACTTGCTGTTCCCCTGCCTGCAGTTCTTTTCCCCCCATGTCGGCATGGCTCCCTCCCTGCTCCCGTCTGCCCACACCACGTGCTAACAGCTCCCGTGCTGCCGTCCATTTCCCCAGCTTGCTTTTTCTCCCCAGTGCCTCTCCACCTCCTGATGTTGCTGTCTGGCCTTGTGACTGTCTGCCTCCCCCACCGGGATGGGAGCTTCGTGAAGGCAGGGCCGTGTCTCACTGACACCCTGTCTCTGGGCCCCAGGCTAGTGTCTGGAGCTTAGGACACACTCAGAAAAGCCGGTGGCCTGAGTAGACTCTGGCAGTGTCTCCGTGGCTGTGTCTGGTCCTGGGGCTCCGCTGGGGACACCTGGGGTCGTTCATCGTATACTTAACAGACATCGGGTGCTGTGCTGGTCTCCTGAGGTGACACTTGGAGGTGTGGGGGGAATTGGCCAAGGACGTGCACAGAGCGTACCCTCTGAGCTCAGGAAGGCTTCCTGGAGGAGGCATTGGTTCAGCTGAGGCCTCAAGGAGGAGGGAGAGCTCCCAGAAGGTATAGAGATGGAGGCCAGAGGGAAGGGCCTGAGTGACAGAAGCCTGGCAGAGAGTAGGGGTGGGGAGGGGGGTGCTGGAGAGGTGGGTTGTGCCAGGTGCCATCATTGTCATGCCGTTAGCCTTTCTCGAGGGCTTTCCAGGTGCCTCTTGGCTCAGGCGGGGCCTTCTGTGTTCTGAGTGCACTGGGGAGCCACAGAAGGGATTTGAATGGGGAGGGCCAGGGCCAGGTGTAGATGGGGTGCAGGGGTTGAGAGCAGAGGCTGGGAGCCCAGGGAGAAGGCCGGTGAGGGACACGGTTGGGGGGCAGGGGTAGGGGCTGTGGAAGCCTGCCAGGCTGAGCAGGGGCGGGAGGCAGCTGGAAGGGAGGTCGGCGGAGGCCGGGTTCGAAGGGCTTTGAGTCCCAAGCCGGGAAGCCTGGCTCTTTCCCGGGGCCCGAGGGCATCCACGGAAGGGTTTGGAGTAGGAGACAGACTGGGTTGGGTTTGAGAGTCCCTCTAGCTGCTGAAAGGGGGACACCTTGGAGGGGGGAGGCCAGGGAGGAGGCGGGATGGGACCCTTGTTGGGGAGGACAGTGCGGCACCTGAGCCAGGCCTAGGGAGGGTGGGAGGAGGAGGGTGGGGAGCCTGGTCACCTTAGAGGTTGAAGCTCAGACTGGCGGGATACTTAGGAGCAGGTTTCTGGCGGTCCTGGGGTTCGGTCCGTGGGGTGTGAGCCCCCTGGGGCGCCGGTCTTACCTGGTGGGGACGGAGCCCCTGTCATTGCTCCGGGCCCTGCCTTTGCAGCTCAGAGTGCAGGCCGTGGGTCCTCAGCCCGCCGGCTCCTTCCCCGTCCCTGTCCATCTTGTCTTTCCTCCGCCGCCTCCCACCCCCCTCCCTTCCCTGCTGGGGCCGGGCAGCCGGCCACTGTCACATGCCAGGCAGTAGTGTGTCCGGCCCACCAGCTCCCCTGGGGCACGAGAGAAAGCTGATGCCCACGCTGTCCCTCGAGCCAGCTGCCGCTTCTCTGGAGGCTGCCACGGCTCCTGACCTGCTGTCCACAAATAACCCCAGGCCAGGAAAGGCAGAAGGCGCCTCGGGCTCCGTGGCCCCTGTCCAGGCCCGCGGCTCCAGGTAGGCCCAGCTGGTGGCTGCCTCCCGCCCTTTTCCCCTCCGCCCTGGGAACCTGAGACGGAGCAGCGGCCTCGGCGTCCGTCAGTCTGTCGGCCGCTGGCCCTTGAGGACAGAAGCGGAGGTCTCGGGGAAGGGACCAGGGCCTCCCTTGAGCCCTGAGGACTGGCTCCTGGGCCCAGACAAGTGCATACGCAGTAGGTTGCTTTCTTGCTCAAGAACCGGAGCGCCCGAGACCTGTCCTTCCTCTGTCCCCTGGTGGGGACAAGGAGGGACTGAGGCTGAGGGAGTGACTTGGGGTGGCCTGACACAGGGGTGGGGGTGCTTGGTTTACTAAAGGTGGCAGGTTGGTGGCTCCCTGGTTTAGAAAGGAGAGCAAGAGAGTGTGTGTGTGTGTTTGGGGGGTGGCAGGCACATGCTGGTGGCTGTAAGCGCTCCTTCAGGTGCCCAGGGCTGTCTGATTCATCCCGGTTACCTCAGCGTTGGGGCATGGGAGTGACGCAGGGGGCGGAGCCTGTCAGGCGTGAGGTGGGTGGAGGGGCTGGGTGTCCCCAGCACAGGGCCTGGCCTGCACGTTGGCCAGGGAGCTCTGCTCCCTCCAGAGAGTAGGACTCTGAGGACAGGGGCTTGGGGCCTCCCCCCTCCAGATTAGGGTCCCTGGGGACTCAACCACATGTCCCCCTTCAGACTGGGCCCTCAGGGCAGGGCTCTGCCCCCGTCACTGGCTCCACCCTGATCAGGACAAGCACAGCAGCCAGAGGCCTCGGAGCCTGGCTGGCCTGCGGGAGGGGCCGCCCGAGTCCCCCTGTTCTCTGATAAGCTCCTCTCTTGTTTTGCAGACTGCTCTGTCCACTGCACCTCCTGCATGTCCTGCTGCCCTGAGCTGTCCCGAGCTAGGTGACAGCGTGTCACGCTGCCACCATGAACGAGGTGTCTGTCATCAAAGAAGGCTGGCTCCACAAGCGCGGTAAGGGTGGTCCTGCCCGCTGGGTTGGGCGTCTCCCCCTCCCTGGTGGTCCCCCGGCAGCTGCTGCCACGGGAGGCAGAGGTGCAGGGTCCTTACCACCGCAGGAGCTGGCATCCCGAGCCCCGCCTACTTGCCCCAGGTCACTCGCTCCTTCCAGGCCCAGCTTGTGGGGTCCTTCACGTTGGTCTGGGCAGGGGAGTCGTGGATCTGCCTGGGGCTCAGGCTCCAGTCCTCCCTGGACACTGTGCATGAGCTCACGGGCCAGCCCTCGAGTTGTGCCTCTGCAGTAGTGATCTCATTCATAGCCCCACTTTATAGATGAAGAAACTGAGGCTCAGAGAGGGCAAGTCAGTTCACTGAAGTAACACAGCGAGGCGATATTTAGCATTCATTCATTCAGCAAATGCTCATTACGTGTGTGTGGGGTGCCAGGCCGTCACAGGCTCTGGGCACACCGTGGTGCCCTCATAGAGTTTATATTGCACTGGGAGGTGGGAACAAATAATAAACAAATAAGCAGACGCGATATCAGGTGGTGGTAAGTGCTGTTGTAAGAAGTAGGAACGCTGAGGGCGAAGAGACTGGAGAGAGATAGGGTGGTTGGGGAAGCTGCTTTGAGGAGGTGACAGCGAATAGAGGCCTGGAGGAGGTGAGGGAGTGAGCCCCACACACAGCTGAGTGAGGGCGACAGCAAGGACAAAGGTCAGAGTGTGCCTGGAACAGCGGCTAGTTGGCCAGAATGGCTGGAGCAGAGCGAGCGAGGGTGAGGGTGAGGAGGTGAGGTGGACAGTGATGTGGCATCCGGCTGCTGTGGCCCTGCAGACCGCGGAGGGGCCTGGGTCTTAGCTCTCCAGGCGACTGGAAGCCCAGGATGTCGTGAGCCAGGGTGTGACCTGATCCGGTTGTGCTGGTGGGCAGCTGGGCCCAGAGAGATGAAGTCACTCACAGGGCAGAGACGAAGAGACTAGGCCCTCAGACCCCAGGCCGCCTGTCCCCAGAGCCACGTGCTTAAGGACCTTGCTGCCGTGAGGAGGAGGGGACCTTCCCTGAGGGAGGGAGGGAGGGTGCCGGGCCTGCGGTGGCCGCTCTCTGCGCTTTCATTAACTCAGCCCACATGGATGCGGCAGCTCCTGTCCCAGGCACTTTCTGGGCACAGGAGACCCGGCCACAAACCAGACAGGCAAAATCCCACATTCGTGTTGAGTTGACACCTAGTGGGCAGGTGGGAGGCGCCCGAGCAGGCGCGCGTGTCCGGGGTGCTCGTGCCGAGGAGAGGGACTGAGGGGGCTGGGGTGGGGGGCCGACTGAGAAGGGGCGTTTGAATAAGGTCTGAGGGTAGCATGGGGGTGAGCCTGGGAGAGGGGCGGTTGGGCCTGTTGAAGAGGGCCGGGAGGCTGATGGGCTGGCCCGCGGGGACTGCGAGAAGCGCCCCCTCCATCCTGCCCTGACCCAGCTGCAGACGGAGCAGTGACAAGGGACGGAGGGGACTCCCCAGGCCAGGCTCCCCCATCAGACTGAGCCGGGGAGACCCGTTTTCCACTCCCCATTCCAGACAGGGGTGACGTTCGGGGCACCGCGGCCTAGACCCCCACCCTGATCGGGCCCTGAGTCTGGGGCTGTCTGTGGAGCTTTCTGAACCTTGGCAGATGTCAAGGTTCTAACCCTGGCTCTGCCACTTCCTCTTGGTGTGACTGCGCAAGCTGTGTCACCTCTCTGAGCCCTGGTTTCACATCTGTAAAATGGGTTGGCCACCCAGGCCTATGGCCTTGTCAGCTCCTTGAGGCCAGAGGTTTTATCTGCCTTGTTCACTGTGGTATCCCCAGTGCCTAGAAAAGTGCCTGGCACGCAGTAGGCGCTCAAGAACTGATTGTTGAATGAATGATTGGGATTGTTTGTGTGGGTGGTGGAAGTGTCTTAGGCCATGTCAGGATCTCGGGTTCCTGAGGTTCCCCAGGCCTGTGGCTCCCTGGGCTGGAGGGCAGGGGCTGGGAGGTGGCCGGAGGACTCTTGCGGGGCTGAGGGTCTGTCTGGTCCAGGGCTGCTGATAGCCTCAGATGGACCTCAGCCCCTCCTAGGCTTCAGTGTCTCCATTCATGTTGTGGGGGCGGGGCAGACGCCCTGCTGGGATGGCCTAGGTGCGACACACTTGCCTTGGGTTCGCAGCACAGATGCACGCGCACACACGGTGCTCCTGGGCCTCCCGGTGCCCGTCACTCTGAGCAGCGGCCCGACAGAGACAGGCCAGGCCAGGTGGGCCCTGCTCACGGCTGCTGTTTTGGCACCTACTCCACCCCACTGCTGGTGGTTGAAGCAGCAGCAGCCCCAGCTCACTGTGTGCCAGGCACGGGGCTCTGCGCTAGGCAAGCTTGATTTTGCCGCGCTTCCATAGCTGCCCTGTGGGGCGGGCAGCTTACAGACCAGAAACTGAGGCTTGGTGAGAAGACTGACTTGCCCCAGGTTTCAGCGACAAGGAGACAGCACTGGGGTTTGAACCTGGGCCCTCTGACTCCTGGACCAGTGCTCTGAAGGCCTGGCCCACAGGCTGTCTCTCGCCCAGCAAGTTCTGCTCCAGGAATGGGTGAAGTGAGGAACACTGCTGGAGTCGCTCCTGCCACGTGCTGGTCACGTTTCTGACACAGCCTCAGCACGCCCTCTGCCAGCCCCGCCTGCCAGTTTAGAGGCCGACAGCATAGTGGGCAAGAGCGTGGACTCTGGACAGAGCGAACTCGGGTTCCAATCCTAGCCCTCCCAGTTAACAGCCGTGAGCCTTGGGCAAGTGATGGAGCCTCTCTGTGCCTCAGTTTCCTCATCTGTAAAATGAGATTGTTGTGAGGACGATTTTCCTTTCCTTCTATGTTTCTTTTTTTCTTGGCTTCTTGGCGATGTATAAAACACCACAGGTAAGTGCCTGGGTCGTAAAGTCACCCCCAAACCAGGGTCCAGATCAAGAGCTGGAACAAGACAGTCCCCAGAAGGCCCCCCCCCCCAAGCAGTAACCACTCCCCTAACTTCCAATAGCATAGGTGAGTTTTTCAAGTTTTATTTTGCTTTTTTCAATTGAGGTGAAATTTACATGACACAACACTAACCATTTTGAAGTGTTAATTCAGTGGCCTTCTGTACCTTCACGGTGTTGTAACCACTGCCTCTGTCTAGTTCCACAACGTTCTCTCCACCCTAAAAGAAAACCCTGTGTTGATTAAGCGGTCAGTCCCCATTCCTGCCGCCTCCCAGCCCCTGGCAGCCACCAGTTTGTTTTCTGTCTTTATGAGTTTACTTATTTTGGACCTTTCATATAAATAAATCCTGCGATGTGTGGCCTTTCGTGTCTGGCTTCTTTCACTTAGTGTAGTGTTTTGGGGGCTCATCCGTGTCATGGCGTGTATCAGTACTTGGTTCCTTTTTATGGCCGAACCACATTCCACTGTATGGATGCACCACATTTGGTTTTTCCACATGTCTGTTGCTGGACATATGAGTTTTTTCTGCCTTTTGGCTCTTGTGAGTAGTGCTGCCATGAACATTTGTGTACAAGAATTTGAGTACTTGTTTTCGGTTCTTTTGGGTATACACTTAGGAATGGAATCCCAGGTCATGTGTTTCACGTTTATAATCTGTATTTATATAGATTTTATAAATTGGGTCATATTTTCTATATTTATGATCTGATACATGTATATATTTTTTTAAGATTGGCGCCTGAGCTAACAACTGTTGCCAATCTTCTTTTTTTTTTTCTTCTGCTTTTTCTCCCCAAATCCCCCCAGTACATAGTTGTATATTATTTAGTTGTGGGTCCCTCTGGTTGTGGCATGTGGGACGCCACCTCAACATGGCCTGATGAGTGGTGCCATGTCTGCGCCCAAGATCTGAACCAGCGAAACCCTGGGACGCCGAAGTGGAGCACACGAACTTAACCACTCGGCCATGGGGCCGACCCCCTGATCTAATACATTTTATATAATTAGATCATATATGTATTCTATATATATGTAAAATCCAGCCATATATTCCATATTGATAATCTATGATGTATTCTATATTTAACTTTTTGCGAAAATGCCAAACTTTCCCAAAGGGCTGCACCATTTTCCTTTGTCACCAGCACTGCACAAGGGTTTCAGTTTCTCCACATCCTCTCCAACCGTGTTCTTTTTCTTTTTTAAAATTACAGCCTTTCTACCTGAGCGTGAAGTGGTATCTCATGGTTTTGATTTACGTTTCCCTAGTGACTGATGGCGTTGAGCATCTTTTCATGGGCTCGTTGGCCTTTGTATATCTTTGGAGAAATGTCTATTCAGGTCCTTCGCCCACTTTTTAATTGGGCTGTTTGTCTTTTTCTTATTGAGTTGTAAGAGTTCTTTATATATTCTGGATACTAGATGCTTATCAGATACATGCTTCGTAAATATATTTGCCTGTTCTGTTGGTTATATTTTTATTTTCTTGATAATGTCCTTTGCACCAAAGTTTTAAATTTTAATGATGTCCACTCTATTTTTTTCTTTTGTTGCTTCTACTTTTGGTATCATATCTAAGAATCCATCACCAAATCCAAGGTCATGAAGATTTACCTCTATATATTCTTCTGAGAGTTTTATAGTTTTAGCGCTTGTATTTAAGTAGATCTCTTCTGAGTTAATTTTTGTGTATGGTGTGAGGTAGGGGGCTAACTCTGTTCTCTGGCATGAAGATACCCAGTTGTCCCAGCACCATTTGTTGAAGATACTAGTCTTTCCCCATTGAGTGGTCCTGGCACTCTTGGTGGAAATCAGTTGACCATTGGTGTGCGAGTTTACTTGTTGAGTCTCGGTTCTGTTCTGTTGGCCTGTGTGTCTATGCTCATACCACACTGTTTGATTACTGTAGCTTTTTGATAAAGTTTTGAAGTCGGGAAGTATGAGTCCTTTTACTTGGTTCTTCTTTTTCAATATGGTTTTGGCAGTTTGGGACCCCTTGCTGTATCAGTTTGAATTCCATGTAAGTTTGAGAATTGGCTTTTCCATTTCTGCAGAAAAGGCTGTTGGAATTTTGATATGAGATGCGTTGAATCTGTAGGTTGCTTTGGGTGTGTTGGCATCTTAAATATATCAAGTCTTCCATCCGTGAATACAGGATGTCTTTGTGTTAAGTCTTTACTTTCTTTAAGCAATGTTTTATAGTTTTTAGACTATAAATCTTTTGTCTCCTTATGCTACTGTAAACAGAATTGTTTTCTTAATTTTTTTCCTTGCTGGTGTACAGAAACAACTGATTTTTGTGTGTTGATCTTGCTGAGTTTGTTTATTAGCTCTAGTAATTATTTTGTGGATTCTTTGTGATTGTCTATAGGATCATGCTATCTGCAAATAAAAATAGTTATCCTTCTTTTTCAAGTTGAATGCCTTTTATCTCTTTATTTTTCTTTTCCTCTCCCTAGAACTTCCAGTGCAGTGTTGAAAGCAGTGGTGAAAGTGGGCGTCTTTGTCTTGTCCTGGTCTTGGGGGAGAACTTTCAGTCCTTCGTCGTCTAGTGTGATGTTAGTTGTGGGTTTTCATAGATGCCCCTTATCATGTGGAGGAAATTCCCTTCTCTTCCTAGATTGCTGAGTATTTTTATCGTGAAAGGGTGTTGGATTTTGTCAAATGCTATTTCTGCATTGATTGAGATGATCATGTGGTTTTTTTCCCTTTGTTCTATTAATGTGGTGTATCACATTGATTTTTCGTTTATTGAACCACCCTTGCATTCCTGGGATAAAACCCGTTTCATCATGGTGTATGTTCCTTTTAATATGCTGTTGAATTGGAGGGTTTGCTGGTTTTTGAACTTTATATGCATGGAGTAATTTAATATCTACATTTGGAAGAATTTAATAAGTTAAAACCTACAAGATACTTAGGACAGTGCCTGGTGCAAAGTACCACTGTAGTATTATCTAATCATCATCCTTACCATCTTCCTCTTCAATTAATGCATGTCCCCATAAGAGGAAACAGACTCAGAGAAGACAAGCCACTTCCTGGTGGCCGCCCTGCCATCCTGCCTCCCCTTGTGCTGTGTGGATTAAGGGCCTGGCACAGTCTGCACAATGGGCTGATGATAAAGAGCATTTATTGAGTGCCTGCAGTGTGCTGGGCCCTAAGCTGGATGCCTATGGTGACCATCTCTTTTTTTTTTTTTTAACAGCTTGAGATATAATTCACATACCACTCAACTCAACCATTTAAAGTGTACGATTCAGGGGTTTTTCGTGTATTCAGAGTTGTGCATCCATCACCACAGTCAATGTTAGAACATTTTCACTGCCCTAAAAAGCAACCCGCTCTCCCCATTGGCCATCACCCTCCCGTCTTCCCCTAGACAACCCACCCTCCCCAGCCTTAGGCAACCACTGATCCACTTTTTTTAATAGATTTACCTGGTCTGAACATTTTATATAAATGGAGCCGTATGATTTGTGGTCTTTGTGGCAAGCTTCTTTCACTCAGCAGACGATACGGTTCACCCATGTTGTAGCACGTGTCCATACTTCATTTCCTTTTACCACCGAATAATACTCCATTGTATGGATATGCCACGTTTTATTTATCCATTCATTAGTTGGTGGACTTTTGGGTTGTTTTCCCTTTTTACTGTTATGAATAATCTTGCTATAGACATTTACATACAGGTTTTCGTGTGGCTATCCCTAGCAGCCCTCTGAGGAGCGAGTCCTTGTAGTGTATGTGTGTGTGTATACACACGGGGTGCTTGGGTATTCGTGGTTAGAACAAATGGAAGGGGTCAAGGGGCACTCAGAGGGCGCAGCAACAGTTACCCCCTGCCTGGCACAGTGTTGTGACATTTGATCCACCCGCACGGCTGTCCTGGCGGATCCCGGCCCATGGGATTTGGCCTTACAGGGCCACAGGGCATGTGTGTTTGGAAGCCTGGGCCTCCCCTGGGACAAGGCCACGCGCTGGCAGGGGTGACTTGCTGCTGGCCACACGCTGAGGCAGCTGCTGCCCTGGGGCACTGCCGCAGGCGCCTTCCTGCCAGGCGTGACCTCTGGGTCCCTGGGCCCAGCCCAGCCAGCCTGCGTCAGCAGGGCCGCCCTGAGGGTTTCTCTGGGAGAGGCCCTCTCCTGCCCGCCCTCCTGTCCACCCTCCCCCACCCCCCCACCAGGCTGCCCCTTGGGAAGGCGCCTGGCGCCCTGGGCTGCCTGCCCTGACCTCTCCCTGCCCCCGCCTTGGTTCAGGTGAATACATCAAGACCTGGAGGCCCCGGTACTTCCTGCTGAAGAGTGACGGCTCCTTCATTGGCTACAAGGAGCGGCCCGAGGCGCCCGACCAGACCCTGCCCCCCCTAAACAACTTCTCTGTCGCAGGTGCGTCTCCTGGCGGGCGGGCGGGTGGGCCAGAGTTTGGGTGTTCAGAGAATGGCTAGCAGGTCTTGGGAGCACATGGGGGTCCGCACAGTGGGGCTGTGGGTCTGACAGGGCCTCTTTGTCCTCAGATCTGTTTCCCACCTTTCCCTGTGCCACCTCCGTGTCAGCTGAGCCCAGGGGCTGTATGGTGGGCGATGTCGAGCGGGAAGAAGGGAGAAGCTAGGCACTTCCCCAGCCCTCTGCCCCAGGCAGCGCCCCCTCTGTGACTCTGGCTCCTGCTGGCCAGGCCCCGTGGCTCTGGCTGGTGTCAGGGGTCTCTGCTCTCTCGTACCAGCCTGCTCCCCTGTCCCTCTAACCTGGAGGCAGCCGTGGCCGCCTCTTCAACCGATGGCAGGGCTCACCTCATGTCCTCCGTCCCCTCTGTGTATCCGAAGTGGTGCCTTCCAGCTGGACTCTGGCCACTGAAAGTTTGGCAGGCCCAGAGCCCTTGCCTGGCCGTGTAGAACCATGGTCCTGCCCCCTGCTTCCTTCCTTCCCTGCTGACCTGATCGGTCACCATGTCCTCGTTGTCCCACTTCCTAAGAACATTTCAGACAAGGCCATCTTTACTGTCACTTCTTGGCCCAGACCACTGTCCTCTCCTGCCCAGCTCCCTGCTCCTCCTCTTTCCCAGTCTCACCCCTCGAGAGTGCCCCCACTCACTCTCTCTGGAGTCCAGCCTCAGTCCCCTCTCTGTCCTGCTGAAAGCCTTGTCTTGGTGGCTTTCCCCGTGTACTAGTGACCATGGCATGGCTGTTCCCAGCCTCGTTTGTCACCTGAACTGCCAGCCTGTCCGGAGCAGCTTCCTGCACTTTTCTTCCTGGGTGTCTGTCCTCTAGGTCCCTCACACCCACCGTGTCTCAAATGGGCCTTTGCGTTTCCCTCCGCTCCTCCCTTCTACTCCCTGTCTCCATCTCGAGAGGGCCCTGCTGCCCCCGGTCCTCATGTTGGGGACCTCTCCCCACCTCCCCTGTGGCCTGTCTAGCTGCCCTCTCCTCCCCTGCCCACGGCCCCAATCTGGTGCAGCCCCGGCCTCCTCCCTGGGCTCCCAGCCTCTGTTCTGTCCTGCCCTCTGCATGGCAGCCCGAGGAATCTGTCTAAATCTGTTCGTGTCCCTTCCCTGTTTAAAGCCTTCTGCAGCTCCCGGTTGCCCTCAGGGCGAAGTCCAGGTTCCTCGCCCCCTGAGCCCTGGGGCTGGCCCCTGCCCGCCTCTCCACCCGTCTCCCCTCTCGCCTCCTCACGCCTGGAGCAGGACGTCCTGTGCCCTCCTGCACCTCTGGGCCTCTGTCCATGATGCCCCCTTCAGTCTGACTGCATTCCCTGTTCCTTCAGGTCTCAGTGCAGAGACGCCCCTGCCTCTGGGAAGCCCTGAGCCCCGGGCTGGCTTGGCAGCCTCCTAGGCTTCCTCGCATCACAGCCCTGACCACTGAGTCCTCATAGCTTAGTGGTCTGTCCCCCTTGCGCGCGCACACACCCACACACACACAGGACCTTGAGCCCTGTGGGGCAAGTCCAGGGCTGTTTTGGTCACTAAAGTGTCTCAGCATCATCTGGCATGGGGCTGGCGCTCAGGAGGCGGCTCGCGGGCTGCAGGCTGGCACGGTTGTCCCCTCACCGTCCTGGCTGTGTCCTCTCTCTGCCTGCAGAGTGCCAGCTGATGAAGACCGAGAGACCACGGCCCAACACCTTTGTCATACGCTGCCTGCAGTGGACCACGGTCATCGAGAGGACCTTCCACGTAGACTCTCCGGACGAGAGGCGAGTCTGGGCCTCCGTGCGGCCGCCCTCGGAGAGTGGCCAGGCCCAGTGAGGAGAGGGACGCAGATGGACAGACTCCTGGGGGCCCTACTTGGGAGTTTTCCATTTCAGCCCTTCTGTGGGGTGGGGGAGTGTCTCCCTAGCTGGAGCTGGGAAGCAGGGGTTCTCAGTCTGCAGACCCCCGCTGTGCCGTCAGACTGCAGGCTGCCTTGGACGCACAGTGAGGGGGAGCTTGTTAACAGTACAGAGCTCTGGGCCCCTGATTGTCTGGAGATCTGTGCAAGGGCCCCGGAGCTACATTTTCATTGAGCGTCTCCATTGACTTTGAGGCAGGAGGTCCAGAGATGCAATTTTAAAAAGATCGATTTAATAATCAGATCACATAGATTCTCCTAGCTCAAAAATCAGACAGTATAAGGAGGCGTCTAGTGGAAGCTTCCCTCTCACTTCTGCTCGCCTCCCCCCCCGCCTGCCCCCGAGGTCACCACTGTCTCCTGCGTCCGATAGAGCTGCTTCCGGGCGGACAGGCTGCTCAGGTGGAGACTTTTGCCTTACAGCCCTTGTTTTCTCCTTTTACACAAGAGGTAGCATTGTCCACGGGCTGTTCTGAACTTTTCTACTTCTCGTATCCTGGGGAATCTTTCTGCTTCAATATAGAGAGAGCTGCTGCTGCTTTTTTCTTTTCAACCAGCTGGACGTGTATGTCCCCATATTTAGCAGTTCTTTGTTCATGATGAGGGAGGGCGTTTCCCGCCTTTGGCTCGTTACGAGCCATGCCACAGTGGAGTACCTCGTGTATGTCTCCTTTGCCACATGTGCAGGTAAATGTGTAAGGTGAATTCTCAGATGTAGGATTGCTGGGTTACAGGGAATGTGTATTTGAAAATTTGGGAACTGTTTCTGTTGGGCCCTGAGAGTGTCCACATAGCCACGTGTTTTCAAACATTTGGATTTTTACCAGTCTGATCAGTGGGAAATGGTACTTTATTTTAGCTGGCACCTCATGGTTTCAGCTGGTGTTTTCTCTCCGTTGGTGAGTTTGAGTGTCTTTTCATATATTCAAGGGCTGTGCGAGTTTCCTTCTCCGAACAGTCTGTTCTTATCCTTTGCCTGTTTTTCTCTTGGATAGTCTGTTTCTTATTTATTTCTGAAAGCTCTTTATATATTAGGGAGCTTAGTCCTTTGGGATGAGTGGCAAATGTCCTTTCCTCACTTTAGCCCTTTAGGTGTCTCTTTGAGAAATACTCCTCTCACTTGTCTGTGGGGTGAGGATTCAGCTGACCCTCTGGAGAACCCTAAAACAGTGCCAAGAGAATTTTCTGCCCTGGTAGAAATGTTCTATACCTGCAGTGCCCGGAAGGGTAGCCATTGGTCACATGTGCCTGTTGAGCATTTGAACTGTGGTTAGTTCAACTGAGGAATGGAGTTCTTTTATTTAATTTAAATTTAAATAGCCACCTATGGCTAGTGGCTCCCTTGTTAAAGGGTGGGTTTCTAGAGTGAACACAAAACAATATCACAAGACTTCTTACCACAATCTGTACTGTAATTATCGTTGCATACCTTTGCAAGGGTAAAAATATACTCGCCCCACCAAGGGGAACAGAATTACCCTCTCAGGCCAGCCGAGGTGTTAATTAAAGCCTGGGGACCAAACCGTGGACGGCCAGTAAAAGCACATTGAAACCAGTCAGTGCCCAGGACCCGGGTGTTGGGCTGAGTTTTGAAGAACGGGTAGGAGCTGGCCATGGAGATAGGAAGGAGAAAGTGACTCCAGGAAAAGGGACCAGCATCACAAAGGCCTGGAGGTGAGGCAGCGTGACATTCCAGGGCCCAGAGGATCAAGGGCCAGGGGCCTGGAAAGGGGAAGTGCAGACCTTGGAGCTGGCAGCTCAGCCAGGGCCTGGCCTCCAGATGGAGATCCCCACAGGGCTTGGCAGGCGGTGAATCAATTGGGGTTTGTCACAGGGTTGCTAGAAGATTCAGGGGGATGATAAACAGGAAGCCCTTGGTTCAGCAGTACCTGGCACGCAGTGTGCAAGCCTGGAAAAGGAGCCGTGGGGAGCCGGCAAAGCAGACGGTTAGTAAGCAACACGCCGCTCTGGTTTCCATTTTAGTAAGATTACCATGCCCTTCAGTCGGGGGCAGAATCCCTTTCCTGAGCCTGTGGGGGCTGGAGGGCCCCGCCTCCCTCCATTGCTTGCACCTGCCGCTGCCACTGCTGGGAGAGCTGCTGGGACTGCTCTCAGAGCAGACCCCGGGTTCCTGACCTCAGCCCCGGGGAGGTGTGAGCCAGAGCCCACCAAGAGGGAGGCAGCTCTGCCCACGGCTGTTGTCACTGCCCTGCCGCACGTAGGCCTGAGCTTGGGGAGAGCGGGGGGGCCGGGGGGGTAGTGGAGGGCCAGCAGGGCCACTCTGGGGACTGGCTGATGCTTAGCTGCTGTGGCGGCCCGCTCACTGGGCTTCCTGTCGCCTCTCTGCCTTCCCCAGTCAGCTCTCCCCGGGGCAGCTGGAGGGATGGCCCGCCCGCTGCCCACTTGTTTCGGCCAAACGTTTAGTGTAATGAATGGATGTCCAGGTACCCCGTGCCTCGGTTCAGCAGCTCAGCCTCTGCCACGTCTGCCTCATCTGGCTGTGTTTTCTGCTGAGTCTTGAACTTCTCTTCATACTTGGTGACTCTTTCCTCCTCAGTGCTCCAGGCGTCTCCTCAGAATAAGGGCTTTCTCCCGTAGAATCATAGTGCCAGGATCACAGCGGAGATGATTATTTATGACCTATGTTAGTAACGTCCTCTCCGTATCATGCCGTACTGGAATTTCCCCAGTTGTCCACAAAATGTTGTTTTGCAAACCAGAATTCAATGAAGGGACACGTTGTCACTTGGGCCCATTTTAATCTAGTTCAGCCCTTTGTCTTTCTCCCCCCACCACACTGACTTTGTTTTGACCAGCCAGGCTGGTTGTCCTGTAGAAGGTCCTACACTGGACGTGCCTCATTATTGCCTTTTGGGACCGTTTACTTGTTCCTCTGTGCCTGTATTTCCTGTGAACCGGAAATTAGGTCCGGAGCAGGCCTGGCAAACCAGGGCCTGCCTCTTGTTTTTGCAGATAAAGTTTTATTGGAATGTGACCATGCCTGTTCGCTTACAAATGGCCTGTGGCTGCTTTTGCCTCACTGTGACTGAGGTGAGGAGTTGTCACAGAGACCGCATGGCCTGCAAAGCCTGAAATAGTTGCAATTTAGCTCTTTATAGAAGTCTGCAGACCCCTGGGCTTGGCAGGTGTACTCAATAGTGCTTCACGTTGCTATGATCTTTTTAATGTAAATCTAATCTCGTAATTTCTCTGCTTCGAACTCTGAGTGGCCTCCAGTCCCTCTTGGAGTGAACTTCTGAGTCTGTGCCATATTCTGCAAAGTCCTACATGATCTGGCCTCCTCTCCAGAGTCATTGCCTACTGCCATTTCCCTCACTTTAGCCACACTCCTTGCTGGTCTCCTTGCTGTTCTGTAGACCTGCCAAGCACACTTCTGATCTCAGGACCTTTGCACTTGCTATTCCCTTTGCTTAGAACCTTCTTACCCCAGATATCATTGTGGTTCTCTCCTTAACTTCCTGAGGTCTCTGCCCAAGTGCTACCTTCTCAGAGTGTCCTGCCGTGCCCCTCTTGTCTCTGTTACCCTTACTGTGCTTTGTCTTCATAGCACCTATCTACTGCATGTGACATTTTCTGTTTATTTGTGCAGGGAACATAAATAGGTGTTCAGTAAATGTTTGTCGAATGAATAAAAGAATGATTAAAACATTCTCTTTTGAGCCAGACCCTGTTCTAAGGTTTTTATGTATGTTAACTCATTTGATCCTCACAACATTTCTAGGAGGTAGTGAAACAGGGCTCATGGTGGTGAGACAGCATGGGGAGTTATAGTGTAAAAGAAAGAAGATCTGAAGGGCCTAGGTTTTCCCCATCAGGCGGGGCTGGGCCTGGATCAGCCAGCAGACCCCGTGAGGGTGTCTGTGAACAGCGGGGGACCCCCGATACTCTCTAGCTGTAAACACCCCTCTGGGTTGGAGGACGGCCCTGGCTAGGGAGCAAGGCCCCATCTGCCCTCAGACCAGCAGTCAGCTGTTAGTCCTGAGGCCGCGAGGAGGACGGGCCTATGCCCTGAGGACAGCTCTGCCACCTCCGCTGCACCAGGCCCGGGCTCCGGAGTCGGCCTGGTCGCTGTGCCCTTGCTCAGTGGGGCAGAGTTCCCTGGCTGTCCGGAGGAAGAGGAGGGGGGACGTGTGAAGGCGTGCCCCCTGGATCGCGCTCGCCGGCGCCTGCGCTTCTCTGTCTCGTCTGCCACGGCATCTCTGGCCCAGAGCTCTGCCGCGGTCTCCTCATGCTTCCTCTCGCTGCCCCGAGCCGTACCCCACAGCAGCTGCTGCCTTAGAACAGGAATCAGCCCTCGCGTAAACCTTTAGCGACTTCCCGTGAGGTTAAGGATTAGGGTGTAAGTCCCTAACTTAGTGGCCCAAGGAGCCCTGTGTGGTCTGGGCCTCGCCTCCTTCCTACCCTCATCTCCGTTCCCCTCTGTCGGGTCCAGCCACTGGTGCCTGCTGGGCCTTCCGCAGGACGCTGGCTCCCTTCTGCTCAGGCCTTCGCCACGCTGTCCGCTCCGCCTGGATTCCTTTCCCTCCGCTTCGTGTGATTCTCAGCCATGTGCTGAGGGCCTGGTCTCTGTGCCGGTGATGGTCCACTGCCAGGGGCATCTTTCAGGTCCTGGCTTACGAGCCGCTCGCTCAGAGAGGCCTTCCCTGAGCGCTGTCTGAGAAGGAGCTTCCCTCTGGTCCCTGCCTGGGGACCCTCGCACCTTTGTCTCCTCCGTTAGACCGGGAGCTCTCACGGAGCTCGTTCCCTGCTGCGCCCTCAGCGCAGGATGAGGCCTGGCGCTCACAGGGCCCCAGGAAGCACTGCCGGCTGGGGGAGTTCTCCCAGCAGCCCTCTGAGGCACTCCCTCTGTGCCAGGCGCTGCCCCAAGTGCTGTATCTCTAGTGTTTCGTTTCACCCTTACACGCCCCTCTAGTCCCGGCTCGCTGTGTCAGCCAACTGAGGCAAAGCGGAGTCAGATGGCCTGCCCCCTGTGGCCTCCTGGAGGGGCCGAGCTAGGACTCGCGCCAGGCCAGCTGGTGCTCTCTCTCTGTGCTCTCACCGCTGTGTGTGCCCAGGGCACGTGGGAGGAGGACAGAGGCTGGAGAAGCGAGGCTGCTCAGGGTCCCCTGGCCCGTTCCCGGCGGAGCTGGGCTCCAGGCCCTGCCCTGGGCTGCCGGCTCCTGGACCCGTGCTGTGCTCTGCCTGGTGCTGCCTCCCCCGCCCCGGAGCCCAGTGAGGGATGGGAAGGCTCCTGCAGGTTCCCCTGAGAGGAGAAGTGCTTTGCAGTGGTAGAGATGCCAGGGTCCCTGGGCCTTTGCTTGGTGGCTGTGCAGCTGGGCAGACGTCAGCCTCTGTGCCTCCGTCTCCTGGTTTGCAGAGGTCGGTGAAGAACAGCGCCTGCTTCACAGAGGTGTGGGGAGGACTCCAGGAGGCCGCTCCCGTCTGGCCCATGCGCTCCGCGAGCAGAGGGCCTTTGGGTTCCTGTTTAGTGGGGGGCCCTCTCGAAGGGGGTCCAGGTCAGAACTCCTGAGGGGCAGCACTCCTTCACTCTGCTCCTTGTCCCCGTGGCGTGGTGTCCCTTATTCCCTGAGCCTTCCTGTGAGAGCGCCCTGCTTGGCCCTCCTGGGCCTTGTAAGCTGTGGCTTTCACCAGAGAACGGCGGCGTGGGGCCAGGAGCGGGGCAGGCCTGGATGCTAGCCTCGGCTCTGCCACCTCCTGGCTGTGCAGCCTCCACAGGCGACGCCACCTTTGAGTGCCTCACTTTCCGCATCAGAAACACGCTCCCTACCCGTCTCCTGCTCTAGAGAAGAACGGACCAAGGTGGTGTCTGAGGAGCCGTTATTTTTCTCATCGTGTCTCTTGGGGGGAAGGAGGTGGGTTCCCCTGGGGGCTCTCCTTTGAGGGGTGGCAGGCATGGGAGCCCCGGCTCCAGGTGGGCACTCCCCTCTGCCCCAGACACCATGTCGCAAACGCTTGCGGAGTAGCCTGGACGGAGGCCCTTGCTTTGCCTCTGGGATTCCAGTGCTGCAGCCTTGCAACCTCGGTCCAGTTGGAACTGAATCAGGGGCTTGTCAGGCGTGGGAGAGCCCCAGTGACCCCCAGCCAACCCCCGGCATCCCTGTGGGTTCTGCAGCTCCCTGTGGGGCTGGGCACCTCGGCCAGGGTGATGGGACACGTCTGGGCCCCACCCAGTGTGTTTAGCACCTTCCTGGAGTTGCGCATCCTCTGTGCACGGGGTCTGCGCACAGCAGCCCCCCAGCAGCTCAGCACATCCCCTGTCTACCGTGGAGCAGGCTGGCCACGAAGGGGAGCTTGCCCAGGTGCCAGAGTTGCCGTTTGAGCCCAGCTGGAGTGGCCCTGGAGCCCATGGCCCTGATCGCCACTCTGCGGCCCCGAGAGCCCCTCCAGAGCAGCCCCTCGGAGCTGCCGTGGGTGCTCGTGGGGTGCACTCAGCATCCCTCATTCACGCAGCTACTGCTCATGGACTGTGGCCTCCGCCCTCCCAGGCAGAGAGGAGAGCACCCTGTGCATCTTAGTCTGCTGCTCGCTGACTCACGTGACAGCCCCTCAGGAGCTCTCTAGGAGATAGGTTCCTATCTTTTCTTCTTTAATATATTCACCACGTCTTAGGAGATTGGCAATTTTTCTTCAATCCCTGGACTTACACCCAAAGTGAGCATTTTGAAGTTTCTAAGAGGTCAGTTAGGATCTGACAAGCATATCCTGCGATGTGCCTCCCCCCATTTTTGGAAGAACAGGAATATTCATGTAGGAATAGGGATTTATACTGTGATTTCTTCCAAACAGGGCGCGGGTTAAGGCAAGTTGAGAAATGCCAGCCTGAGGGTTGGTCAGGGACGGAAGAGGCCACTGCTGCCCTGCCTGGGTGTGCACCAGGTCTCAGTGCGAGCCCTGCCTGGGTGTGCACCAAGCCTCAGTGTGTGCTCTGCCTGGGTATGCACTGGGTCTCACTGTGTGCCCTGCCTGGGTGTGCACTGAGCCTCAGTGTGAGCCCTTCCTGGGTGTGTACTGGGTCTCAGTATATGCTCTGTCTGGATGTGCACCGGGTCTCAGTATGCCCTGCCTGGGTGTGCACCGAGCCTCAGTGTATGCTCTGTCTGGGTGTGCACCAGGTCTCAGTGTGTGCCCTGCCTGGGTATGCACGGAACCTCATTGTGCGCCCTGCCTGGGTGTGCCCCAGACCTGTATACTGTCTGGGTGTGCACTGAACCTCAGTGTGCGCCCTGCCTGGGTGTGCCCCAGGCCTATATACTGTCTGGGTATGCACTGAGCCTTGGTGTGCACCAGGCCCGGGAGCTGCCGTGCTCACTCACTCCCCAGATACCCCCCTGGTACCTGCCCAGGCGTATGAGCAGACGGCATCCCTGCCCTTGTGGGGTGGACGCACATGGCTTTTAGGCCCCAGACTTGCCTAGGCTTGGGGAGGGCCAGCGTGCCGCCACTCGATGTTCGTGCTCACGATACTCACCCGTCTGTCTAGGAAGCACAGTCTTGTGTGAGCGAGGCCACTTGGAGAGGCAGAGCTTCCGGTGAGAAGGGCACTCCTGGGCTTGGTTGCAGCAAGCTTCAGCCAGTGGGGAGCTAGGCAGGAACCGCCCTGCCCCTTGGGCCCGGAAGGTCCCAGGCCCTCCGCGATTCTAGTTGCCAGGCTTGGAGCAGTCACTGTGCTTTTCTGGAATTTTGTTTGCTAATCCATGCCTCAGTTTCCCCATCTGTAATGCAAGAGGAGGGGTGAGTGCTCTGTACATGTGTGTTATTAGAGGACAGTGTAATGGGACTCGTCTTCACTCCTGACTCCCAGTTCTCCCTGGAGGCAGCCAGAGCCCGTGTCAAGCGTGCGCTTCCAGAGGTGTTTGTGCTGACGTGAGCGCATGTCTGTGTGTAAATTCCTTTTGCTTCTGACTCCAACAGTGTGATACTCTGCGCCGTTCCACCCCTTCCTTTTTCCGCTTCAGATGTCTCAGGTCATTCCACGACCACATACAGACCTGCCTCGTTCGTTCTCTCTGCCTCGGAACGGCTCCTTGCACACATGCTTCAGATGTCTGTCCATCTCACGACCCCATCAGCTCAGTGCCGTTGCCAGGCTTCAGCGGGTCTAAGACAGCTTGGCCTGAGGTCACACCATTGTTTTATGTCATGTCGAGAGAGCAATACCCAGTTAAGTGAAGGCAGGCTGCCAACTGTGGGGTGCATGCGGACTCCAGCCATGTCAACACATGGGAGAATGGGCTCGGTCTAGGACTGGTGGACTCCCAAATCAGTGCTCCTTGGTACATGAGGAAGTGGAGACTCAGAGGAGGGCACAACAGCAGGGTGGCCCAGGCTCAGCTTTGGGATCCCAGCCTTGTGTGACCTTGGGCAGGGGCCTCAGTGCCCCCTGGGGCCAGGGGACGAGTCCAGAAGATGTGTGGCTGGCCATACTCACCGGCCTCATTGCACTTGCTGTGATTTGGGAGGTGATTTGGGAGGTACTCTGAGTTTTCTCATTCCTAGCGGACGTTTTGTTTTTCCCACCGTTCGTGTGGCTGTTGTGTAGACGTAAGCCATGTCCATGGCGGGGTTCAACATATCTTGGGTTGAGCCACCTAAAATCGTGTAGTGGGTGAAAAATGGGGGAAAGGACAGTTAGTATCATTCAGCCTCATATTTTTTTCTTTGTGGTCTCTGGTCATTTTTATTTCTTTCTTCTAGATACATTTTCCTTCTCTACAGATAGAACAGTTTGCAAGTATCAAAAGAAAATTCTTTCCCAGCAAGTTCCACGTCATGAGTGACACAATTAGTTTATTGTTCTTAAACTCGGCTCCCTTCGGCTGGGACCTGCTTCTCTGTCCCCCTGCCACCTTCTCTTCCACGTCTCTGCCCCCCAGGACCCTCTGTCCCTGACGCAGCCTCCGGGCAGACAGCCCCGGCCTTGTAAGAGCCTCAGCTTTTTGGCTAATGGGTGCTGCCGTTTACTCTCGGTTTTCTCTTACGAACCACTGGTGGCTCGTACACTTGAGCTCGTCCTTAGTTACAGAGGAACTCGGAGGAGCGCAGTCTCTTGCTCCTTCAAGGCTCAGGGTGGTGGTCCATTTCCAAGTGGCTTGAAGAGAGGTGGTCTCCCCTCTGATCATTAATCGTTGCCTGACTTCAACATGGTGCTTCAAGTGGCACTCAGGCCAGGCCACTCCTGGGACCGAGGTGGTCTCTGTCCTTATCCCAGTTTTGCTCACTCCCGCCCACTGCAGCCAGGGGTCTGTAAAGTCTCCGTCCGGTCCCGTCCACTCTCCCCAGCTGAGACGGAGGTCGCCAGAATGCCCAAAGGTGTTTGCTTAGTTGCCTGTTGGAGGGCGTGGGGCTCAGCCCTTCCCACCCCGAGGCCCAGGCTCCCCGGGGCTCACGGCTCCTGTGACGTGTCCCCACACAGGGAAGAGTGGATGCGGGCCATCCAGATGGTCGCCAACAGCCTGAAGCAGCGGGGCCCCGGGGAGGACCCCATGGACTACAAGTGTGGCTCCCCCAGCGACTCTTCGGCGGCCGAGGAGATGGAGGTGGCGGTTAGCAAGGCGCGGGCCAAGGTGGTAAGTGCTGGGGGCGGGCGGCCGAGGGTGGGGGCTGCCAGTCTGTGAGGAGCCTGCTTCCCCGGCGCTGGCCCTGCTGCCCTTCGTTTCCATACAGAGTGTGCAGGGGCCACCAGGACACTTTCTGACTGCCCTGGAGGGTGGGCGATTGTGGTGTAGATGCCTCAGGGCTGCCCTGTGCCCAGGGGCTGAGGGCAGCGTCACCCTGAGAGGTCGTGAAGGCCTGTCTCCCCACCTCAGAGTCCTCCCAGGGCCCTGTGCCTGGGAGCACCCAGTGGTGGGAGCGCCTTGGTCCGAAGGCCACTGCAGAGCAAGCAGTGGCTGCACAGCCTCCCTTCCTGCTCACGCCTGAGCATCTTGGCAATAGGCTCTCCGAGTTTTCTTTCTTTGTTAAAATTTCCTCCCGTGGGCCAGGTGCCAGGCACTGACTGCCCTGCTCTCCCCATGCCCGGCAGACCATGAACGACTTCGACTATCTCAAACTCCTGGGCAAGGGCACCTTTGGCAAAGTCATCCTGGTGCGGGAGAAGGCCACTGGCCGCTACTACGCCATGAAGATTCTGCGGAAGGAGGTGATCATCGCCAAGGTGGGTGCTCCCAGGGCTGCCGTTGGCTGGCCTCTGTGGGGGCACAGTCTGGAGCCAGACTGCAGTGGGGAGCACGCATGGGGCCAGGATACTCACCGTGCCTTCTGCTGCTGAACTGTTCTTTCCCGCACCCAGACCCGTCCCCTGGGCTCCGTCCCATAAGTCCCCAGTCAGAGAGGGGGAGCCCGAGACCCAGGGAGAGAGGGCCTGCCTGCCCCTGTCCCCGAGCCTGCGGATGCATGTGCAGAGTGTCTGCCTGGGCCCCACCCAGCAGGGCTGTCAGGGCCTGAAAGGCGGTCCCTCGCGACGATAAAGGGCCTGTGGGGAGGCGCCAGGGTGGGGGCTTGGCTCGGGGTGTCTCATTCGGAGGCTGGGCCAGGAGTGGAATTCTATTCCTTCTTTCCTTACTTAAAGAGTTTGAAATGGAAAATTCCTAAAGTACACAAAATTTTCAAAAGACAAATAAATATAACGGGCTCCCTTGTAGGCATCATCCAGCTTCAACAATTTGGCCAATCTTGTTTTTATTAGCTGTGCCCTCCCTTCTTTTTGTTCTGGAATATTTTGAGGCATGCTGTAGACATCATATGCTCTTGCCTGTACATCCTTAGATGTGTATCTTTAGCAGATGATGATTTTAAAGACTATAATCACAGTACTATGATCGTATCCAACAAAGGGAACAATTCCCGATGTCGTTGGTCCAAGGCAGGGTTTCTCAGCCTCAGCACTGCTGACATTTTGGCCTGGGTCATTCTCTGCGGTGAGGCCACCCTGTGAACCATAGAGAGGTATCTGCGTCCCTGGCCTCCACCCACTGAAGCCGCTAGTACTCTCCCTGCTCCCCCCTGTTGTGACAATCAGAAATGTCTGTAGACGTTTTCACCAGACGTCCCTTGGGGACAGATGCACCCTGGGGGGTGCCGGAGTCTGGGTCCTGCAGGTGGGTCGGGATTTTTAACAGCTCTCCAGGTGACTGCTGTGAATTCAAATACCAGACTCGAGTCTGCGTTAGAGCTGCCAGGAGGGCCCGTGAAACCCGGGCTGCGCTGCCCCCAAGTTTCCGGTTCCATGGGTCTGGGGAGGGGCCCCAGAATCTGCACTTCTCCACATTCCCAGGTGATGCCGAGGCTGCCAGTGTGGGGCCCACACACTGAGAGCCGCTGCTCCACAGCCTGAGTCCTGGTTAGATCCAGTTCCTTCTTTCGGCAGGAACATTTATAGGTGGCGATGCCCATGGCGTCACCTCAGGGGTCTCATGATGTCTGTTGGTTCCCCCTTGGGGGTGTTAAAACGGGCCTGTGGGGTCAGGAGGTGACAGCTTGCTCCCTCCATCGTGAAGTCTCCAGGGACTTCTCACCTTGTGGTTTTGAGAGCAGCCACTGACGGTCCTTGTCAGGGTCCTTTGTGTCGTCAGGGCTTGCGAATGATGACGCCCCCCTGCTGTTCTCTGGATATTGGCTAGGCGTGGAGTTGTGCCTCACCGGGACCTTGCTCCCCTGTCCCTCAGGTTGGGTGGGGGCAGGCATGGTGTTGCCCCCCAGCCCCTCACCTGGCCTCTGTCTGCAGGATGAAGTCGCCCACACGGTCACCGAGAGCCGAGTCCTCCAGAACACCAGGCACCCGTTCCTCACCGTGAGTGGCACTACCCTCAGGCCCAGCCGGGCCTGCCTGTGTGCCGTGGTGGGGGCTCCAGGCCGGCCCTTTCGATGGAGTTCAGGGAAAGAGCCCAGCCCTGCCACTACGAAGCAGAGACTTCTGGTGGGCCAGGCGGTGTTGGGCTCCCCAGATGGCCTGAGCCAAGACCCTAGAGGTGGCAGCTTCTCCATAGGCGGTGCCTTCTTGTCAGCACTTCTGCTGACCGATGGGGTCACATTGCAAGATGGCCCCAGGAGAGCATGGCTGCTGCCTTTATGAGTTTGAGGCACTTAGCCCGGCTGGTCAAAGTGGGAACATTATTTTGTTTTTGTTTTTGTTTTAAAATGTGATCCTAAAAGCAGATGTCTCGTTGTGCTGCCTGTCAGCACAGGCTGAGCAGACAGCTCTTTGGGCTGCAGTCTCCACCATGGCCAGCAGCCATCAGTTAAATGGACCATGTCAAGGGTGGCTTATGGGTCACTTCTTTAGCTCCATTGCTGTCCAGCTGTCCTATTAAGCCACATTTGTCCAGATGAAATCTTACGAGGTACTTGGTGTAGAAGACAGAGAGCGGTGTCCTGAGCAGAGGGCTCACCCAAGGGTCCTCTGACATGTTCTCTGTAGGGCTCCTCAGAGCAGTCTGGAAACTACTGTTAGTTGGCAGATCGTTTCTCCATCCTGTCTTTGGGGTCAGCTCCCAAGCCACTGCCGACTCCCAGCCAGCACCCCTCATGTGTGTATAAGTTGCACACATTTGACTGTGAAATAGGAGGAGGAAGAGAGGTGTCAGACGGCCCTGGATGCTCAGGGCATAGTCTCTTCCCGGCCGTGCCTTGGCTGGAGGCAGAGGACAGGATCGTCGAGCACGGGCCCCTTTCCCTGCCGCCCGAGCCTTGAGGCCACTCACACAGCCCACACGGTGGAGCCGGGATCCGAGCCCTGGCTGGCTGATTCCCACGGCCCGGGCCCAGCAGGGGGTGTGTGTGCAGGGTCCCACCTCCTACCCGGGCCGCCTGCCTTCCACAGGCCCTGAAGTATGCCTTCCAGACCCACGACCGCCTGTGCTTCGTGATGGAGTACGCCAACGGTGGTGAGGTGAGCTGCGCTGCCCCCGCCCGGCTGTCTGGCCGGCTCCTTCTGAGTGTGGGGGAGGCGAGAGGAACCGTGGGTGAGACAGCAGGGGCAGAGGGAGACGTACTGGACGTCATCTTGGTCCATCTTCCCCCTGCCCCTTGACCAGGCATCATCATCTCAATTTTGCAGGTGGGGAGACAGGCTCAGAGAGGTTAAGTGGCTTTCCCAAGTTTACACAGCTAGTGAGTTGGCGGGCAGGATACAGACTGAGGTCCAGAGGGGTGGAGAGGGCTGTGGGGGTGGATGGCCGACAGCTCTGTAAAAGATGTTCGTAAAAGCTGCAGAGACAGTGTGTGTGGGCCAGTCCGCCAGTCCTTGGCTTTGCCTGAGTCCTCCTGGCGCAGAGGGCTCCGCTGCTCCTTGTCCCCGACACCCTTCCCTCTGCACGAGCTGTACTCACTGGCTCATGATTCTTGGCTCCGTCTGTCCCATTTGGTCTCACAGCTTCTTGTCACTTGCTCATGACTGTGTCCCCTGCTTCCTTGCGGTCACTCTGTCACCTCTCCCCTCACACTGCCCCCTTCCTTTCTTCTTGGCGCCTGCTGTCTGTCCTTCGCTCTTCGTCCTCACTCGTTGTCTTGTACTCATGTGAGCTCTTCTCTCCTCACTGTCCCTCACTTGTCCTTCTTGCTGTCTCTTGCTGGTTCACGGAGCGGGTGTCACCGTGTCACTGGGCCAGGTGCCGGGGGCCGGCGGGCAGGGTCCCTTCCTTCCCTCGTCTGGGCCGGGGTCTGACCTCCCCGCCCTCCCCCTCCGGCAGCTGTTCTTCCACTTGTCCCGGGAGCGCGTCTTCACGGAGGAGCGGGCCCGCTTCTATGGCGCAGAGATCGTCTCGGCCCTGGAGTACCTGCACTCTCGGGACGTGGTGTACCGCGACATCAAGGTGAGCCTGCACCCCCAGGGGTCCGCGCTGGCCCCCAGCGCACCCGGGCCCTCTGCCCTCCCTGCCTGGCCTCCCCTTCTCGGGAGGCTCTGTCTTGTCCGTGCGCCTGTGTCCAGCTCCCTCGGGGGCCGCCCCTCCGCCCAGCCCCAGGGGTGCTTCTGCAGCTGGCAGCCTGGGCGGGCCTGCCACTGTCATGAGCGCTCACGCCTGGGCAGCCTCAGGGCGTAAGTTGGTGCAGGTGCTTTAGAAGACGGCCTGGCAGGGTCCACCAGCGGAGGGCGTGCATGTGTGCTGTGAGCCGGGTCCCTGTGTCCACCTCACAGCGTGGACGTGGGTGCTCCCAGCAGCGTTCTTCACACTAACCCCCTACTGGGAGCAGCCCCAGTACCTGCGCTGGGAGAGCAGAGAAAATGCAGCGCGGTGTGTTCACACGCCGGGACCTGCGCAGCCCCGCGCACCGGCGAGGACGGAGTTACTGCTCTTGGTTGGGGGGTTGAGAACAAGGAAGGGGTCTGCGGGGTTCTGAGGGGCTGCTGATGCCCTTTCCTGACCTGGCAGAGGTTACCCGACGGCCCACTGAAGTGCCCCTTTGTGTTTAGTAAAAATGGGAGAAAGAAAGTGTTCCTCACATCTGAGGTTGGAAAGCGCAGCCTGCTGTCGGGGAAGCAGGGGCCAGGCCTGGCTCCCGACTCTCACCGCCTGGCTTTGTGCCGGCTTCCCTGGGGGGCAGCTGGGGGGCGCAGGTGTTGAGCCTCAGAGGGTGAGGGCTTAACCCGGTGCCGGGGGTGTGGCCCGCGGCCCAGCCTGGAGCCCCGGCATGACAGCTGCCACCCCCGGTCACGGCCCCTTTGGGGAAGGGTTGAGGGTTGTGTGGAGTTTCGGGGGGTGGCAGGAAGCCGTGGGAGGACGTGTCCCCGATACAGTGACTTTCCCTATAGCTGGAAAACCTCATGCTGGACAAAGATGGCCACATCAAGATCACTGACTTCGGCCTGTGCAAGGAGGGCATCAGTGATGGGGCCACCATGAAGACCTTCTGTGGGACCCCTGAATACCTGGCTCCCGAGGTGTCTGGGGCTGGAGGTCCAGGGACGTGTGAGGCCAAGGGCGGAGGGGCCCTCAGACCGCTGTGCTTCCCGCGCCCAGACCCTCTGAGGGCAGGGCTCCCACCTTTAGGCTGCCGTCCCCAGCCCCGGGCCCCTCGCAGCTCCTCGGCCCTGGGGTGCGGGCCCGGCCCTCATCGCCCCTCCCCGTCAGGTGCTGGAGGACAATGACTACGGCCGGGCTGTGGACTGGTGGGGGCTGGGCGTGGTGATGTACGAGATGATGTGCGGCCGCCTGCCCTTCTACAACCAGGACCACGAGCGCCTCTTCGAGCTCATCCTCATGGAGGAGATCCGCTTCCCGCGCACGCTCAGCCCCGAGGCCAAGTCCCTGCTTGCTGGGCTGCTTAAGAAGGACCCCAAGCAGAGGTGAGGGCTGGCGTCTGTCCTGCCCAGCCCAGTGCCACCTGCTGCCAGTGTCCCTTCCGCCCAGAGGGGACAGCATCCACAGGTGCAGTCGCTCCTGGGTGCGTGGTGTGTGTTGTCCCCACACAGCCTCTGACAGTCCCCACAGCTGGCACTTAGCATTCCTCTGGGGCCAGGCCTATCCTTAGCCCTCTGCCTGCGTTGCCGTGTCTTATGGGGACGCTGAGGAACAGGGCGGCCCCGTGCCTGGCCTAGGGTCACCAAGTCTCATGCGGCAGAGCCAGGATGTGACGTGGCCGTCGCGCCCGCCCTCTTGGCTCTCCTCCTGGACTAGGGGACGAGGGGCCAGGTTGCAGTCTCCCGGCTCTGACCCCGGCCCCGTGAGCTCCCTCCCCAAGCCTCGTTTCCTCTTCTGTGGTCTGTGACCGGGTCAGAGTGGTTAAAGCTGTTCAGGGCCTGCGCTGAAAGCCCGTCTCCCAGAGCCTGGCTGCCCGGGAGGCGGGTGCTCATGGCCGTCTCTGCCCAGGCTCGGCGGGGGGCCCAGCGATGCCAAGGAGGTCATGGAGCACAGGTTCTTCCTCAGCATCAACTGGCAGGACGTGGTACAGAAGAAGGTGAGCACCTGCACCTGCCTGCTGCCCGCAGGTGACCTTGGCCGAGGCCTGCTGTCCTCAGGGTCCTGAACCTGGGCTCCTCTCCTCCGCAGCTCCTGCCACCCTTCAAACCTCAGGTCACATCCGAGGTCGACACGAGGTACTTCGACGACGAGTTCACTGCCCAGTCCATCACCATCACCCCCCCGGACCGCTGTGAGTGCCTGTGGCTCCTCCCCCGTGCGCTGCCTGGCTTGGGGGGGTCTGCTCTCGACCCCATTCTCCAGAAGGAAGCTCGCAGGCCCCCAGATCTGGGCAGCTGACCCTTCGGTCTGCTTGTGGGGCTTTTGCTCTTGGTCCACTGTGGGCCCCGTGGGGTTCCCAGGAGCCCTGACAGTGCGTCCCGGAGCTCAGGGGAGAGGCGTGGCAGGAGCTGCTGGGAGTTGTCAGGGCTGACGTGGCACGTTCTCGGTGGGCTTCCCACGTCGCTTGGGGCTCTGGGACTGTATTGGTCCATTGACTCTACGGCTGGTTGGGTTCTTACTCTCACCTGCCCAGGGCTGGGCTCTGCTGGGGACACAGCAGTGACCGAGACAGCCCTGGGCCCTGCCCTCAGGAGCTCCCAGTCTAGGTAGGGTGACAACCCAGAGGGGTCAGGGCAAGGATGTAGGAATACAAGCCCAGAGGAAATGCCTGACTTGGCCTGTGAGTCAGGGAGGGCTTCCTGGAGGAGGAGGCATGGCAATTGAGACACGTTCCTGGCAGAAAGAACGACACGTGGGATGCCCAGAAATGGGCACATTGTATGTTCAGGAACGATGGGAGCACTGCAGAGGTCCAAGGAGAGGGGAGGGAGAGGGCGTTGGGCCGAGCAGGAGGATCTGGGGGCTGCTGGGAGGAGCGAGGCCTTGTTTCCTGGGGAGCGGTGGAAGGGCTTTGTGCAGAGGAGAGACAGGGCTGCCTCAGGGCTTTAGAAAGTGCCCTGGCTGCGTGTGGAGGACTGTTGGGGGCGGGAGTGGCGGCCAGGGCAGGAGGCTGGGGCAGAGAGGTCCGGGCTAGACTGTGGGGTGGGGGTAAGAGGGGAGCAGAGGAGCCGGGGGTGCTCTGGAGGCTCGCTCAGCCTGGCTCTGCCTGGGGGTGGGGCTGACTCAGGGGCTCTGTCAGGGAGGACCTCACTGAGCCCTCTGTCCCTCTCCTGGACGGCCACCAGCTCAGGGCTTACGCTGGGGGCTGCCTGCTTCCTTCCAGGCGGGGTCCCCCATCCCCCGGCCCCAGGGAGTACAGGCGGGCTGCCGGGCCCTCGCAGGCTGGTCTCCCCAATCTGCTCCACCGACCCCACAGATGACAGCCTGGGCTCGCTCGACCTGGACCAGCGGACCCACTTCCCCCAGTTCTCCTACTCGGCCAGCATCCGCGAGTGAGCGCCCGCTGCCGCCACAGGACGCACGCACGGCCGCCACCACCGCCGGGGGCTTCGTTCTTTTTTTTTTTTAACTTTTTATTTTGCCTTTTTTGTTTGCGTCCCCATCCCTCACCTCCTTACCCCCATTTCCAGTTTTTTCTTCAGCCCTCTGCCAAACTCCCCTTGCGGTCCCCGCGGCCCTGCCTCCAGGACCCTGTCCTGCGCTCACCTCTGCCAGACCGGGAGTCGCCGCCTGCCCCGGGACCAGCCGTGGGCGCTGAGAAGGGGCCGGTTTTGAGCAGCGTGAGCCCCAGCGGGGCCAGACAGGGGCCTGCATCCGCCGGGTGCCCAGTGACAGCACGCCGGTGCTGCCTTCCCTGCCCCGTCCTTAGGCTCTGAGTGGCCTGGCGAGGGGCAGTCCAGCCCCCTCCCCCACGGGGGCAGAAAAGCAATAATGTCCAGGGCCGGGCGGGGGCCTTCGGAAGCTGTGGGGTCGGGGCTTAGGGCTCCCTCCTGTGGATGGGGCCCAGTCGACCCTGTGGGGGACCAGCGGGGCCCAGAGGTCGGCGCTGCCTCCTGGCCCTGCCTTCCCCCACCCCCCAAGCTGCTCTCCTGACCTGCGGGTGAGGCAGGAGGAACATTTAGGGGCTAGTCCCCGGCCCCCCGCCCCGTGCCTTACCAGGGCTTCCTTCCAGCCGGCCTTACCTCCCACTGGCCCCCGGGCCTGGCCCCATCCCTTCTGAGGGTGGGGCCTGGGTCACCCCCTTCTCTGCCTGGGGCGGAGGGGCGCCAGCCTCGGCTGTTACACATCTCACACCGAGACAGTATTGGGCCCCACGGACTTGGGTCGAGGAGCAGGTGGGGGTGGGGGTCTCTGGTACGTACCGGGGTGGGGGCCTCTGGGAACGGAGGCTCCAGGCCACCTCACCCCTCCCCCTCTCCGGGCCCCACGTTCTGCAGCCTTAAGGTGAACGTGTGTCAGTGCTGTGGGCACTCGTGTGCGTGCCCCGGACTGTGTGTGTCCGTGGGCATCCCTGTGCATCTGGGACACAGGTGCACACGGGTGTGTGTGTGCATGCGTGTTGGGTATGTGTGTGCGAGGGCAAGCGTGTCCCGGCCTCGAGTGTGGTGTGTGTGGGCTCAGGCCCCTGTCCCAGGCCCGAGCATCTCATCCCGTGGGGGAGGGGTGCTGGCCTAGTGGGGGAGCCACGCCTGGGGTCCACTTGCTGCCCTGCCCCCCTCCCTTCCCCTCCCCTCCCCCCCAACATCTCCAGGTGTTTGGAATTTGGTTTTTCTGGTTTTGCTCTCCCCACCTCACCTTCTGTACTAGGTAACTCACAGAGAGACATCCTGGGGTGGGGTGGGGTTGGTTTGGGTGGGTGGGGGTCTTTTTTTCCTTTTTGTGTGTGTCTGTCATTGATCTGACAATTCTCTCTCCTCCCCCCTGGCCTTTCCCCATTCCTCGTATTTGTACGGTACAAGCAATAAAGACACTCGTTTTAGACCGGGGCCCACCCCCCTGGGCCTTTCTTGCGCCCGGTGCTCCATTCACAGGGCCTGTCAGCCACAAGGGGGAGCATGCAGAGGGGATTGGGGAAGGCTCCCAGGCCTGGGGTGGGGCTACGGTGGGCAGACCGTTCCAGACCCTTGGAAGCTGCTTAGGCCAAGAGAAGTGGGTGGCTGTGAACAAGGAGGGTGTGCACTGTGTCGCTGAGCGTGAAAGGGAGCGACTTTATTTCTCCTGGCCCTTGAGCCCCGAGGGGCATTGCCAGCACATCCCCAGCTCTTCACTTAGGCCAAACTGGGGAGCCTCGAGGCCTCCAGGTTCCCATCCAGAATCCTTGGTGTGTCCGTGGGGTTGGTGGTGGTCTCAGCGGGGGCGCCTCAGGTTTGGTTCGAGTCCTGCCAGCTCAGGGCATCCTCGGACCGCTGCCCCTTTATCCAGGGTTCCCACCCTTGCATCACTCCTCCCAGATCCGGGGCTGCCCGCCGAGTCCGGCATGGGCGGAGTCCACGGGAGACTTTGCCAGCAGCTGTTAGGGCTTCACACTCGTGGAGTCTCTGAGATCTGAAGGGCGGGAGGCAGGAAGGTCGGGTCCGCTTGATAGAAACCTGCATTAGCAACAGCCAAGACTCAAGGGATCTTTTGGTTTTTGTTTTTCCTAACTTCAGATGGACTTATTTATTTAATTACGAAAATATGTCCCGGTGGGCATAAAGAAAGGAAAGCCTTTTGCCCTTCCCTCTGTCGCAGCCCTCTGAGGTGACCAGTGCTAGGGTTTCTCTTCACGTCCCACTGTCACTCGGGTCTGCCGTGTGGGGACCTTGCTGAGTCTTCCTCAGTCTGGGGGCGGCTGTCTCCCTTTCCATGGGGGGGTGGCCCAGCGGCAGTCGGCTGCTTCCCTCAGTGGCACGGGCGTCCGTGGATGGAGCGGTGCCTCCCGTTTCTGTGCGAGGACTTTTCCCAAAGGGGGTTTCAGGTGGAAGTCTTAATAAAATTTTACCAATGAGAAAAATGAAATTTTGAGTCAATCTGTGTTTTGTCACGTGCATGTAGAAAATTTCACAAGTCTTGGTGTGTGTAAAGAATAATGCAGGCAAAGGTATGAGGAGGAAGTCCAGTCCCCGGACCCCAGGGACCTCCGGCAGGAGGACCTGGGAGACAGCCCGTCCCCCTCCCCTTGCGCAGTTTTCTCCCCGTGAATCATGCCACACCCACCTCACCCAGGCTCGCATGGTCGAAGGGTGTGCTGGGCCATCGGAGAAACGAGGTCCTCTTTCGGGCACTTCTCTGCATTCTGGGGACCCCTCGTGGGCATGGCCATCGTGCGTCCCAGCTGCTCCATGAGGCTCCTGGGGTGGGTGTGCCTCAGCTGAGCGAGCTGCCCCCTGGTGAGAATTTGCTTGTTTCCAGGTTTTTTTGTTCTGCCGACACGACTGTAATAAATCTTCATGGTCCATCTTGACCGCCCCGGGCTTTTATTTTGTGGCCTACGTTCCCGGATCGCTGTATTTTAATCTGTGTCTGATAGTTTTCCCCCGAAGTGAGGTGGTTCATGTATTTTTAACTTTAATTTTGAAGTACTTGTAGATTCTAGAAAACTTAGAAACTTTCAAAAATAGTACGAAAATCACTCCAGGAGTGGTGCAGGACATACACGAGATGAGCCCGGAGCATCCTGTGGTGCCCAGATGCGAGGACCTGCTAACCAAACCTCCCCCTCGCCCATGGGCGTGCGAACCGCAGGAGCTGGGGTGGGGGGGACGAGCTCCCGGCGGCAGCGCCGAGAGCAGTTTGAGCAGCAGAGAACTAGTCTTGGTTACACCCGAAGTGTAGAATGAGTGAGGCCATACTGATGGAAGTGACAAACATACGGTGAGAAGACACCTGTGCAGAACTGCAGAGCTTTCCTGTGGATTTCCGCCCTCACGGAGGGGAGCAGACCCCCCACGCCTTAGGTGTGGGCTGCAAAGTGACTTCCTTCCGAAAGTGACTTCCGTGCAGTGTGGCCGGCGGGGAGGCAGCTTTCCCGTGGGGAAGCCCGGCACGCGCCGCTGAGCCGTGGTCAGGCCGCGCCGCGCCGCTGCGTCCTGTGGGCGGCAGGCGCCCTGCTAGGATGCGGTGAGAACCGGGCCCCACCTCTGTCTTCCTGCCTGAATGCGCACCCCAGTCCAATCCGGAGAAACACCGCTAGTTCTCAGAACTGGCCAGGGGGCTCCAAACAAGGCAAGCCCGAGAAACCGTCACCGCCGAGAAGGCTTGAGGAGACCTGCAGAGCGAGTGTAACGTGGGGTCCCGGCACAGAGACAGGCGTTAGGCAGGAAGTCGAGGGAGCTGAAAAAAGCAGGGACTTGAATAACGTATCCCTGTGGGTTCGTTAAATTGTGACACATGTACCACTGTCGTGTGAGATGTTAGCAGGAGAAATGGGGTGGGGTATCAGTCTATGTGAATTTTTTATTTAAGAAAAATACAAGGAATTCTCATCCACGCTTCACGCAGGTTCCTCGGGACGTATTACATTTCCTTTAGTCCCTCCCTCTCTCGTCCATGTTGACATGTCACATTGTCCTACAATGAGAACATTCGCTCTCGTAACTGCAGTCCAAGCCTCGAGGTCAGGAGGTCAGCATTGACACAGCGCTCTTCCTCTCGACCCTCACAGACTTTGCTAATGGTCGCATGAAAGCCCTTGTAGATGAAAGAAAGGAAAAACTCCTGCCTGGTGACCGGTCCAGGCGCGCAGGTTCGAAGCTCCCAGGGCACTTTATTTTGCAGAATGTCCCTCAGGGTTGGCTCCCTGATGTCTGCTCGTGGTTCTGTCGCAGCCATTGGCAGGAATGCCCAGCCACGGCGTGCCCCTCCCACTGCATCCTCTCCAGAGGCACAGGAGACCATCTGTCCCACTCCTGGGGCTGACTCTGACCCCTTGGTTAAGGTGGCGTCTGTCAGGTTCCTCCACTGGAAAGTCACTACTGTCCCTGTGTAGTGAGTGAGCATCTCGAGTGGAGATACTGAGAATGTAAATATCTGCGTTCTCCTCCAGCATTCAGGCAAAGGGAACAGCAAGCATAAAGGTCCTGAGGCAGGCAGCTGTCTGAGGTGTTCTGGGAACATAAAGAGGACAGCGTGTCTCGAGTAAGGGAGGAGAAGAGTGGAAGGAAATGAGGTTAGAGGGGTGACAATGGGCCAAAGGGACTTTGTGGCCAAGATAAGGGGTTTAGGGTTTATTTTAAGTATGACAGGAAGCCATTGGCAGCATCTCACACTCCTCTCTGCTCACTTTTTCAGCCTCGATGACCTCTGAACGCATGAGGAGAGCAAGCTCTTTCCTGCCTCAGGGCCTTTGCTCAGGCTGTTCCCACCCCTTGGAATATTCTCCCCTCTCTTTGTATTCCTGGCTCCTTCTCTTTCAGCTAAGGTCACCTCCTGAAAGAGACCCTTCCAGATCACTGTCTCCAAATTACAGCTGGCCTGTTTACTCATTCATTCAACAAATACTTATGGAGGGCCTACTATGTGCCAGGCCCTGTTCTAGGCACTGAGAATACAGCAATGGAAAAAAAAACCAGACCAGCCCTGCCCTCCTGGGGCTCACATTCTAGTCAGGAGGGAGACAATAAATAGGAAGTGAGTCGGTGCTAAGGAGAGAATAAAGGCAGAGGATGGGGACAGGAAATGTTCAGGATCGCATTCTTCACGAAGGTAACATCTGAGTAAACCCCTTAAAGGAAATGAGGGATCTCGGAGGGAAAGGCATTTCAGGCAGAGGGACCAGCCAGTGCAAAGGCCCTGAGGTAGAAGCATGCCTGGTGGGGGTGGGGATGAGCCAGGAGGCCAGTGTGGTGAGAGAGGAATGAGTGAGGGGGCGACGGATAGGAAATGAGCTCATAGGGGTGTGTCTTGGCTGCGGTGGGGAGAGAGACTATAGGGCCTCGTGGACTTTCAACTGGAGGGAGATGGGAGCCCCGATGGACAGAGGCAGTGTGAGCTGATTTCTTAGGTGTGCACAGCCTCCCTTCTGGCTGCCTGTGGGGAACAGACTGCCGGGGACAGGGACAGGGACAGGGAGGGCAGTGGGCAGGCTGCTGCCCTAGTCCAGCCCTACCACCGGCCCCGGGCCTGATCACCACCTCAGCTCTGGGCCGTGGGCTTGGGAAAGGCAGCGAGCGCGCGTGCTCAGCCCTGGGTCCCCGCCGCGCGGAACGCAGCGGCCCGCCTGAAATCTCCGCTAGGGGACTTCCTGCTCCCCTGTCTTGAGCTTTTGCTGTATTGAGCCCTGTGCTGGACGCTGCAAGACACCATGTTAGAAGTTCTGAAACTTCCCCACTTTACAGCCAAGGAGAGTGGGGCTCAGAGGGGCTGCATCTGGCCATAGAGGAAGCAGCAGGACGAGGATCTGACTCCAGCTGCCCGACCTAGAGGGTCTGCAGGGGGCAGAGCCAGCCTGTGGGACCCGCGCCCCACCCCGCGCACCTGCCCAGCAGAGGCGTGCTCTCGCGCACGCGCCTGGGCGCATTTAAGGCGCGCGCCGCGGGCGCCGCGCTCCGGCGGGAACTGGCGGACGCAGGGCCTGGCTCCCGCCGCCAGCCTGGAGGATGCTGGTGAGATGCGGCGCCGGGGGCCTGCTCCCCCTCGGGCCTCCCTCCCGGCACTGACCCCCCCCAGCCCCTCTCCCTTGCAGAGTCCAGCTGCCCCCCTCGACCCACAGCCTCCGAGCACGCCCCGCGCCGACGGCGTCCCCGCAGGCACGAGCGTCTACGCCGTGCGCCCCCCGGGGCCGTGCGCGCCGCCGGGGCTGGAGGAGGCGCTGAGCGCGCTGGGGTTGGAGGGAGAACGCGAGTACGCCGGGGACATCTTCGCCGAGGTCATGGTGAGCGGGGCGGCGGGGCGCCCCTGCACGGCAGCAGAGGGGTTCAGCTTAGACGAGGCCAAAGCCCACCCGCTCGCCCAACACCCACCCGACGGGCGTTTCCACCCCCTGCCCCCGCCAGCCTCGCTCTCAGCTCTTCCCACGGACGCTCCAGCCCCCGCCCCAACTTCTCGGCTTGCTTTTGGTGGCACAGTCACCTGGGCGGTTTCCATCGCCCGGAGCGCCCTTCCCCGCCTCCCCAAGCCATTTGCAGCCCCTCCTTGGTATTTCATAGCCGCTCGTACTTGTCCCCCACATTTATTCGTTTAACAAATAGCGAGTTGTTAGGTGTTTTCCAGCATGTTCTAGGCGCTGGGGACGCTGTGATGAACAGCATAGTCGGTCTGTCCTCATTGTGGGGAGACGAGCAGGTGTAAGCGAACATTTCAGAAGAGCCACACAGAGCAAAACACAGGCCGGTGGTCCGCAGGCATCTGTCTGGGCTAGGCACCGTCGGGAGGAATACTGAAGGCAGGAACTGATTTAACAAACCTCTGGTGGGCGCCTCTCCCGGCCCGGGGCCTCTGTCCGGAACTGAGCTACAGCCCGGATCTGGGCAGACATCCCCGCCCTAGCCAGGCAAACAGACAAAGCTCCAGAGGAAACACCGGCTATCTCCAGACTGAAAATATTATGAGAATAAAGCGATAAGATAGAGGGATGGGGTGCAAGGAGAAGTATAGAGAAAGTCAGGGAAATTTTAGCTGAGACTTGAATGACCGTGAAGGAGTCAGCAAGGCAAGGAGCTGGGGAAGGACCATTTCAGGTGGAAAGAACAGTATATACGTGCAAAGGCCCTGAGGTAGGAATGAGCTTGGCATCGTCTAAGACCAAAAGAAGGCTGGTGTAGCCAGGGTGTGTGGATTGTGAGGGGACAGAGGGGCCAGGTGATGTTGGAGCAGAGGTAGGGCCTGAGAGAGTCAGAGAGGAATTAGGGTTTTCTCCTGAGGGTTCTGGAAACGATGGAAGGGTTTTAAGCTGGGGAATTCCTCGGTCAGATCTGTACTTTAGAAAGACCCTTCAGAGTGCTCTGAGGGGGATGGGTTGAGGGTTGGTGACCAGGTGTGGAATCTGGGGAGATGCTCAAGGAGGTCCAGTGGTCCTGCGGGCTCGAGAGGGGTCCAGAACAAAGTCCGGGTTCTAGATGCGCACAGGGAAGAGCAGAATCTTTGGACGAGATGTTGGAGGCCAGTTTGGGTGTGGCACTCGTGTGCCATCCGACGGGTGCGAGGAGGCTGCGGCACCCAGGCCTGGAGCCCAGGAGACGAGCCGAGGCACAGGTGTGGAGAGTGAGCCGTCCCTGCCCAACCCCAGGTGTGCCGCGCGCTGCCCCGGAGGGCCCTGCCGAGCACCGTGACCGCGGAGATGCGCGCGCTCGTGGTGGACTGGCTGGTCCAGGTGCACGTACGTACCTGGGGAAGGGGCAGGGCCAGGCCCGCGGCACAGCTTAGGGCCCTGCTGCTCACCCGCGCCCCTTCCCAGGAGTACCTGGGCCTGGCAGGGGACACGCTCTACCTGGCCGTGCACCTGCTCGACTCCTACCTGCGCGCGGGCCGAGTGCGCCTACACCGCCTGCAGCTGCTGGGCGTGGCCTGCCTCTTCGTGGCGTGCAAGATGGAAGAGTGCGTGCTTCCCGAGGTACTTCCGGGGTGGGCCGGGGAGGGTGGAGCTCTGCCTGCTGGCCGCAGTCACGGATTAAACGCCTACTGTGTGCCAAGCACCGTGCCAAGCGAGCGCTTTAGGAACTCTTGGAATGCCAGCATATCTGTGTGAGGCAGGGGACACATGAGTGTGTCCCTTTAACAGAGGAGGAGACTGAGGCCCAGAGAGAGGAAGACATTGGCCCCAGATCAGGCAGTTGGGACTCGGGTTCGGTCTTCGGTAGTTACAGTCCATCTTGAACAGTTACTGTTAACAAGCGTATACTCAGCGCCTTATCAGAGCCGCCTGGTGAAGCAGGGAGAAGTGTCTCCGTTTACGGGTGAGGAAACTGAGTCTCAGCCTCCGTGAATGTCCCTGTCACACAGGGAGTAGATGGCAGGCTTTGAACCCGAAGCCAGGTCTTCCTGACTCCGAAGCCTGTGCGCTCCATGACTTCCAGACGACGCAGCAGTGGCCCCATTTTACAGACCAGGAAACTGAGGTCCAGAACGGGTACTGGACTGAGCGCAGGCGCTGCAGGGCAGGGAGGAGCGAGCCCGGCCCGAGACTCCCCCACCCCTCTCCCCCCACTCCGCAGCCCGCCTCCCTCTGCCTCCTGGGCGCCGGCTCCTTCTCCCGGGCGGAGCTTCTGCGCGCCGAGCGCCGCATCCTGAGCCGCCTGGATTTCCGGCTGCACCACCCGGGCCCGCTGCTGTGCCTCGGGCTGCTGTCCGCGCTGGCCCGGAGCGGCCCCCAGGTGCGCGGGGCGGGGCCCGGGGAGGGGGCGGGGCCTGCGCGGGCTGGGGGCGGGGCCTGACATTCGTCCAGCTGCCCGGGCAGGTGACGCTCCTTGCCACCTACTTCCTGGAGCTGTCCCTGCTGGAGGCCGAGGCCGCGGGCTGGGAGCCCGCTCGGCGCGCAGCTGCGGCGCTGAGCCTGGCGCACCGCGTGCTGGACGGGGCGGGCTCCGGGCCCGAGCCGGCGCTTTACAGGTACGGCCGCGGCCGAGGGGCTCTGGGGCTCCAGGGACCTATCTTCCTGGCCGCTGTCTCAGAGAATGAAAGACAATTACGGGGGAGGAGGGTGCACCTCGACTTGGCTTTTCTGGGTGTGAGAGAATGATGTGTCTGTCTGGTCTGGAGGTGTCTGAGAGCATGGGGTGTTTGTCCGGATTTGGGGACCCTTCACCTCGCCCCAGGGTGGGAGAGAGGAGCTCCCCGGGCCCGGAAGATGCTCTAACTGCGTTGCGGGGTTGAGAAGGAGAGGTCTGTCGGCCTCGAGTCGCCCAGCTCCCCTTCTGGCCGCGAACGGGGCTCCTTTTAGCTGCTCGAGCCCCTCCCCCGTACCCATGGCACCGGGTGGCAGGGTGAATGTCTTTTCTCCCATCCCGTGTCCACGGGGCGGAGCTGGATGTCACCTCGTCCCCAGCCCCACTCCTTCCCTCCCCGCGGGTCCTGGCTCTACCCAAGCCGCGCCCTGCGGGGAGAATCGGGGGTCGTCCCCTCCTCCGCGCCCCCCGGTCGCTCTCTAGATGATGGGCCTCGTGTCCGATCTCGAGAGAGCCCCCGAGCGGTCCTCGGGGACCCAAGTCAACGCGTCTTCTCAGCCTCCGAGGACAGGTCGTGTCCACCGCTGCCACTGCCTCAGTTTCCCCGTCTCCCCGCCGCAGCCCCGCGGAGCTGGGCCCGCTCGAGCCGTGCATGGCCCGCGCCGCGCTCCGGGGTCCCGCGCCCGGCCGCGCCGCCATCTTCCTCAAGTACGCGCGGCCCCAGCGCCGGGGCACCAGCCTCGCCGCCGCCCGCCTGCTCCGCCGCCCGCAGCCCGGGCCTCCCTGAGCCCGGGGACCGCATCGAAGAAGACTCCGTGTGTGTCCGTCTACCGTTTCAATAAAAGAGTTTTTATTCCCGGCGCTCTCTGTCCTCATTGGTCGAATTCAGGCCCTCCCCCCACTTCTGATTGGTTACTTCCTCGGCCCCTCCTCCCTCTGATTGGATGTTCTCTCCAAGTCCTTTAATGGTTGCTGGGAGACGCGATGTGGATGCCGGACTCGTCCGCGAGGGGGCGCTGGCGGACTTCCGCAAGTACCGCTTAGAGGGATAAAACTGGGATTCCAAACGCAAACGGTCGCGGGAGACAGAGATGCTAAGAGGAAAATGGCAATGCAAGCTGAATGACCCTCGGTCTCAGGGTTGGGAACAAACTAGGAGGGATGGGGACCGTGGGAAACAGAATGCCTGCTCCAGTCGTGAGGCCTCGGTGTTGCCAGATTTTCAGATTTTGTTTAAGTGAAGTCGAAAGTTTACAATTCCATAAATATCTCTGCTCTTATATGTTGGTAACTAATTCATTTTTTTTTTTTTTTGAGGAAGATTAGCCTTGAGCTAACCTCCGCGGCCAATCCTCCTCTTTTTGCTGAGGAGCTAACATCTGTGCTCATCTTCTATTTTATATGTGGGACGCCACAACGGCATGGCTTGATGAGTGATGCACTAGGTCCGCGCTCAGGATCCCAACCGGGGAACCCCGGGCCACCAAAGCGAGGGTGAGAACTTAACCGCTACTGCCACCGGGCTGGCCCCACTAATTCAATATTTTTTAATGGTTGCACAAACCCAACATATTAAATATACTGGCCTGTGAGGGTCATCAGTTGGTGACAGGGTCTTGGATAGCAAGAGTTCCATAAATGGGATCTGATCCACATAACCTCTAAAGTGCCACAGCGTCAGCAGCAGGGGAGGATATACGGTGGAGGCGGGGGAGGGTGGAAATACAGGCACGGGGCTTGGGACTGAGACCCAAGCTAGGGTCTTGGAGGATGGGTGGTCATACATACAGTTATTCACTCACTTATTCAACAACTGTATATGGAGGCTGACTCAGAGCCGGGCACTTATGGTCACAAATCTCACCATGTCATGGATGATAAGAAACACCCGTTGTCAATTTCGCATGACTGTCCCAGGCCCTGAGCGCCGTGCTTTACCTGCGTAACCGGATCCAGCCCCTGCCACTACTCTGAAGGAAGCTCACTTCTTATCCCAAGTTAAACGGCAGGAAGTCAAGGTGGAGGGAGATCAAGGAGCTTGACCAACGTGCCACCGCCACATAAGCAGCCAAGGAGGGCTGATTTGCCCTCAGTTTTCCTCCAGAAGCCTCTCACATGTTTCCTGCGCTGTACCCTCCTTTCTTACTGTACTGCTCACTCTGAGCTGTCTCCCCACTGGACTTGGGGCCCAGGAGGGCAGGGTCTGAGGCTGTCTCAGTCCCTGCTATGTCCCAGCATCACCCAGCCCAGAGCTGGGCACAGAAAAGATATCAGTGAATATTCGTTTGTTGCATAGATAAACAAATGAGTTTCAAAGTTGCTCTCATTGTCCCATGCTGAGGATACAGAGTTCCGGGTAGTTTAAGTGATTTGTCCAAGGCGTATAACTAGGGAGAAAATAAGCAGGGAATTAAATCTGGACAGCTTGACTCCTGTGTTCTTATCCAATATGCCAAATGCTGGTGGACTGAAAACCGGCAGTGCACGAGGTTGTTATCTTCCTGCTCTTTCCCCCAGACTTGCCCTTTCCTTATAGAAAGCTTTGGGAGCTCTGTGCTTGGGAGAGGAGAGCAGGCAGGAGGGTGGGGAGGGTAAAGGGAGTGGGAAAAAGGGAGAGGCCGGCTGGAGAAATAGGACTGGGGCTGATTTGAAGGAGAGAGTGGGGAAGTCTTGAGGGGTTTCTCTAGACCCATAGGGGGCAGCCGGAGTCGGCTGCTGGAGGTGCGGGGGCGGAGAAAGGGTGGGGACCAGCCCCACGGGGGGCGATGCGGTAGCTGCAGCAGCGGCCGCAGGAGTTTCCCACAATGCAGCGCGGCGCGCTGTCCCCGGTGCTGATGCTCAGCGCTGCCCCGGAGCCTCCGCCGCGCCCGCCTCCCGCCCTCTCGCCGCCGGGCCCGGGCCCCTGCCATGGCTCAGCTCGGCCCGGTCCTGCCCCAGAGCCGTCGGGGGGCCTGGGCGCGGCGCTCGACAGCAGCCTGCGGGCCGCCGTGGCATTCAAGGCGGAGGGCCAGCGCTGCTACCGAGAGAAGAAGTTCCGGGAAGCCATCGGCAAGTATCATCGGGCGCTGCTGCAGCTGAAGGCGGCGCAGGGGGCCCGCCCTGGAGGCCTGCCCGCCCCCGCCCCCGGGCCCGCCACCAGCCCGGGGCCAGCCCGCCTCAGCGAGGAGCAGCGGCGCCTGGTGGAGAACACGGAGGTGGAATGTTATGACTCTCTCACGGGTACGGGGCCGTCGGGGGGCGCGTATGTGAGAGGGGTGGGGAGCTAGGGGCAATCACGAAGCCCTGGGGTGGCGGGCGCTGCAGGCTTGAAGGCTGGGGTCTGTAGGGGGAGTCCTCAGAACTAGATCAAGGAGAGGGGTTGGAAGTGTAGGGGACCACAGGGATGGAAGGAGCTGGGATGCGGGAATGGATGGGCTTTGGGGTGCCACCTGCGAACCTCAGGTGAGACAAACTTACCCTGGACGAGCCATTCGAGGCCCATCCCTCACCTGTGAGCCCGCCCCTAGCCCTCTCCCGTCTGGAAACCTCCCAGCTAATCACCCGGGAGCGCCTGTCTGTGCTTTTCGCGCCCTCTGGCGGCGGCGCAGATCGCTTCCATTCTGATTGGTCAGAGCTGGGCGGCCGGGTGGCCTGAGTAGTCCCTGAGGACGGCTCAGCCGTGGGAAAGGGTGGGGTTCCCCGCATCCCGAAAGCCAGGTGAGGTCTGGGCGCCGGCCGGCTCTGAGAGCCCGGGTCCCGGTGCCCCCGCAGCCTGCCTGCTGCAGTCGGAGCTGGTGAACTACGAGCGGGTTCGCGAGTACTGTCTCAAGGTGCTGGAGAAGCAGCAGGGCAACTTCAAGGCCACCTACCGCGCCGGCATCGCCTTCTATCACCTGGGCGACTACACGCGCGCGCTGCGCTACCTGCAGGAGGCCCGCAGCCGGGAGCCCACAGGTGAGGGGCAGGCGGAGCCCGGAAAGGGGCCTCGCTGCTTGGAGGGAGCGCTGGACCCCCGCCCGTTCCTCTCTCCACCCACCTACTCCTTCCACATCTTCTCATGCACTCGCCTCCCATTTAAATGTCCGCTCACCCATCATTCCTCTGACATTCACCCAACCAGTTCTCGTCTATTCAGCCCCTGACTCATCCTGATGCCCCCACTCCCCTAGCAGCCACTTCCCTATCTGCTCACCTACCCCATCTCCCTTACACCCCCCCCCCACCCCCCGCTCCCCAGTTCATCCACTCCCTCTCTCACCCATTCACACTCTCACCTACTCGGTCACCTGGTTCCTGGCGATCTAGGAAATTGGCCCAGGGTTGGGGGTTAGCAGAGCTGGAGGCTCGTTCCTTGCCCTGTGGGAGATGGCAGTCAGAGGGTGTGTGTGTGTGTGAGTGTGTCTGTAGGCAGAGCTTGTATTAGGAGCCAGTGACGAGGGAGCACAACAGGTGCACGACATGGGGTTGTGGGAGCAGAGGCAGGATCAGCCGTCCTGGTGAGTGGTGGGAGAAGCGGCTGCTTGCAGACAGCCCGGAGGCCGCGTGGCAGGGCGACCAGGGCCTCCAGTGAGCGGCATTCCTGGCAGAAGGCAGAGCCTGTGCGGAAGGATGGAGGTGTGAAACGCCCCCACTGGCTTGTTGTGGCTGGGGCTTTGGAGAAGGGTTCTGGCAATGCTGGCTGTGTGGGGAGGCACTGAAGGCTGGGGACAATGAGGTGTGAGCCAAGGTGGGGCAGCTGTCCCCCGCTGCCCCAGGACTTGAGGATAATGCCCTGCCCGCCTCCCCCGCAGACACCAATGTCCTGCGCTACATCCAGCTGACTCAGCTGAAGATGAACCGGTGTGGCCTCCAGCGGGAAGACAGTGGGGCCGGGGCCGGGGCTGGGACGCGGGACGTCATTGGCTGAGACCCACCTAGCGGGGCTGTCCCTACCTCTACCCCTACCTCTACCCCTGCCACCTCACCGTGTAAACTCCCCCAACTCATGTGTTCACAGGTAAAGCATTTGTCACTGGTAACCAGAGCCTCTTTGTGTGCTGTTCTGGTGGGGACCGGGGAGGGGCTATGGGCTTATGCTTCACCCCGGGGACTTGAGAAAGCCAGCGTGGGCGGGGGGTGCACAGGGGCATGGCCCGGGGTGGCGGCAGGCCGGGAAAGACGCACAGCCAGGCGCGGTAGGGGGCAGGGGCTACCTTTAATGCTGCATTTGTGCCAAATCCCCCGCGATGCCCTGTCCCTGAGTGTCCCGGCCCCCCTCCCCCCGCTGCAGGGCGGGCGCAGGGCCCCACCCCCTGGGGTACAAAGGAATAAATTAAGTGTCCCCCCTCCCCCCTTCCCCAATAAATAGAGCGGGTATCCTGCCCAGGGCCTCCCGCCTGGGCCTGGCGGGCCGCGGCGGGGCCTGGGGCGCTACATTCAAGGCTGCCCCGGCGGGCGGTGGCCTCAGCGGGAGCCCTGGGCCTCGCACAGGGGCACGGTGCTGTCCTGGCTCTGCCCCTCCATGTCCATGTCAAGCAGCGTGGGCTGCACGCTGGGGGGCCCGGGGCTCTCCGGACTGTCCGGCCTGCTGGGAGGCGAGATGCTGAGTGTCTGGCCAAAGGAGACCAGTTTCCAGGGGTCCAGGCGGGGGCGGCTGGCGGCAGGCCGGGGTCTCGGGGTGAAGGTCAGGGTGGTGGGGCGGCCAGGGAACTCGGGGGGCCGGCGGCGGGTTGGGAACAGGGCCTGGGGGTCGGGCAGGCGAGGAAAGTCCAGGGGGTCTCGAGGGCCTGGTAAGAGAGGATCAGACGAGATGAGGGGGGCAGATGGGGGGGGGGCGTGCAGAGGGCGGCATTAAAAGCCAGGAGAGGACAGGGAAACTGGAATTTCTGACTTCTCTCGAAAAGCCTCCAGATCTTGCTGGGTCCACTTTCTGGCAGGGGTTGCACCTGCGCCTAGGCCCTGATCACTGCTGACTGCCACTCATCTGGGGGCGACCCTCCAGGGCCCGCTTCCCTTTGGACGCTCTAGACAAAGCCCCCATCCCTCCCTCTCCTCGGCTGGCTGGGTTCCTGCAGACCACCCGGCGGAGAGACCTTAGACATGACACCCTCTGAACGGGGACAAGAGCACGTCACCACCCGGCTGAGGATTAAGTAAAATAGCAACAGTGAATGCAGAACACTTAGCACGGTGCCTGCCTCATGGGAAGTCCTTAACGCCTGTCTGTCCCACCATCTTTGTCACGTTAGTCAACATATAGACAGCAGCCCCAGCACAGGGCTGTTCGCTATAGTTACCACTGTCGCCGTTAACATCACCTGCCTGGCCCCGTGGGCATTAGAGTCTGGCACCATCCCCCCCCCCCCCACCCTGTGTTTCAGTCACCCAGGGACCCTCAGCAGGGAGGGCCATGGGGACACAGACCCCTCCTCCCCACGCTAAGCAGGAGGAGGCCGCTGATGGGCTGGGACATCGGACCCTGGCGGGGGCAGGGGGCAGGGCCGCTCTCCGCGCCCCGGGCGCGCGGCGCCTCACTCACCAGGGCCGGGGCCCGCGGGCTCGGGCGACCCCCGCTGCCCCAGCGCCCCGTCCGACGGCGTCCGCCTGTGCCCGCGGCTCACGGCGCGCGCGGCCGTGACGTGGGTGGGTGTGAGCGACTGGCGGGGGTCCTTCTTGAAGCTCTCCAACTCCAGGTCCACCAGGGGGTTGGGGCTGGGCGCGGGCGGGGAGGGCGGCGGGGAGGGCGCGGCCGGCGCGGCCTCGTCGCTGTCGGAGCGCAGCAGCGAGCGCGTGGAGTTGCAGTCGGACACGGACGACAGCGACACGAGGGTGGCCGAGGGCGCCAGGCCCGGGCCGGGGTCGTCGCGGCGGCCCGGGGAGCGGGCGGGCGGGCCGCGGCCGGCGCGGGCGAAGAAGAGCCCGTCGAGCCAGCGCCGCTGCTCCTCGCCGTCGGCGGCGCGCGCCTCGGCCAGGTCGGCGCCCAGGCCCACGGCGCCCAGCAGCGAGGCGCAGCCCAGCAGGGCCAACTCGCAGCGCCGCCGGCCGCCGGGCGCGGGTCGCGCGGGGGGCGGCCCCGGGGAGCGCTCGGCCGGCAGCGGCGCCGTGAGGTAGGCCGGGGTGCTGTACGGGGAGGGGGGCACGCTGCCGCCGCCCGCCGCCTCCGCGAACTCCTCTGCAACCGGGAGAGGCCGCGCTCGACTCCGGCTGGTCCCGGGCCCCGGGGACCCTCCGACAGCGAGACCGCCGAGTCCCCCCTTGGCGCGGTTCTCGCATCTTCCTCCCCGCAAGGGCCCCTGCCCCTGGGAGTGACCCCGCACCCGGGGGCCTGGCTGTCGCCCTTTCCGGGAATGCCTGCTCCCCGGGGGACCAGCGAAATCCCGCTCCCTCCCCCAACCCTGGGGAAGGGTCCCCCGTTTGTCTCGGGCTCTGCTCCCCTTCGGGCCAGCGGATGTCCCCTCCCCCTCTCCCTTAAAGGGGCCCTCACCGTCTTACCCATCTCATTGAGGCTGGCGAAGCCAGGGGCGATGGGGGTGTGTTTGGGGGATTTGCCCAGGTTGGGGGCGCTCGATGACCACTGTTTGCTCCCTTCCCCCAGGGCCTTCAGCCTGCAGGGGGCACCAGAGATGGGGGGTCGGCGGCCTTCGCTGCGCCACGGGCCTGGGGGCGGGCGCAGGGCGGCCCCGCCGGTACCTCTCCTCTCCTCCAGCCCGCTCCTTCTGCAGGGTGGAGCTGGGCCCCCACGTGCGGCCCTTCTTCTTGCCCCCAACCAGCTCTTCCTTCTTTGGGGGCCCGCTGCGGCCCCATGTCACACTGCCACCACTGCTGCTGCCACTGCTGCCGCCGCCACCACCATCCACGGGGGTCACTGAGCCGAGAGAAGCCACTCGGTTACTGGGTCTTGGCCCCACTGAGCTCCCAGCCTCCCTCTCCCCACTCGGACCCTCCCTCCACCTGGAAGCCCCAGGGATCTTGGGTTCTAACTCCAGTCCTGAAGGACCCTTCCCTGCTATAAATCCTTCCATAGCTCCCCACCGCTGTCAGGACAATGGCCCAGCTCCTCACCCTGGCATTCAAGGCCCTTCATATGCATTCCCTGCCCACTTCCTCAGCCTCATCTCCCATCGCTCCCCACGGCCTCAGCCGTCACCCATCCCTTCAGGTTTACTGAGCAGCTGCGAGCGTTTCCATTTTAGCAGGTGAAGAAAGGACCCTACTGGGTGAGCCACCTGTGTGGGGTGTCAGAAGGGGAGCCGTGCTGTGGGAAACAGGGAGCAGGCGAGGGCTGTGGAGTTAGAGAAGGCTCTCCCATGGGAGAGCGAGAAATCTGGCAAAGACCCGAAGGAGGTGAGGGAGGGAGCTAAGTAGACACCAGGGAGAGGAGTTTCAGGTGGAGGGAACAGTGAATGCCAAGGCCCTGGACACGCCCGGAGTGCTCCCAGCCGGCCAGGAGGCTGGTGTGGAGGGAGGACGAGGAGAGAGACGGAGTCAGGATACGCAGGCAGAGGGCCTTAGGGGCCTGGTTGGGACCCATGTCTGCTGGTTCCCAGTGGGGCGCTTCACAACTCCATGCCTTTGCAAAGGTTGTTCCCTTCACCTGGAATTCTGTTCCCTTTCGGTCCTTTTCCTGGCCTGGTTGGTGGCTTGCCCTTCAAAGCTCCAGGTCTGCATAGTTTGTTCCCTGGAAGGTCAGGTGCTCTCTCTCCTGGTCCCACCACGCTTGAATGGACCCTGATACCAGTATTGATGACCTCTGTATGGTTGTTATTTACCTGAACCCTGACGGCTGGACCTCTGCCATGCGGCCCCCACTGTGGCCATCTCCCCATCCAAGGCGCCCCCCAACCCGGGCCAGCCGTCCTCATCTCACTTGTCTATGCTGTCCTAAGACCCTGCTCCTCACAGCTGCCAGAGGGCAAAGGTGAACCCGCTCCGTCACTGCCTCGCCCCAGCCCTCCCCGGCTCCCGTCATGTGACAGTAGAATCCAGATTCCTTTTCCTGCCTCTCCAGAGTTCCTCGACCACAAACCTCCCGCCGCCTCCCATTCACTCTCCTCCAGCCAAGCCGGTGGTTTGGGGCTGATAAACGTTCCCACCTCTGGGCCTTTGCCTTGGCTGTTCCTTCCGCCAGGGACACTCTTCCTTCCGATCTCCGCATGTCTCAAAGCCGCAAGCTCAGCTCCTCCCACGGGCCTTCCCGGTGTCCAGCAGCAACTGTTCTTCCTTCTTCCCCTCCCGGTTTTCCTGCCCAGTGCTTCTCCTGCTCACTGACTGGTCTCCCTGTTTCCTGTGGTTCCCCCCGCTTGGTGCAAGGTATGTGCTCAGAGAAGTTTGCTGACTGACTGACTGACTGACTGGTCAGGGCCTCGGGAGATACTCACGGCGAATGGCCCTCAGCCGGGGGATGATGCTGGGGCTCGCGGGGGGGCTGGCCCCGTCGGATCCTTTCCGCTTATCCAGGGTTGGAGAGGCCTGGACAGTGATCTTATGCTCAAAGCCTGCACAAAGGAAGAGACTTTCCTGAGCAAACGGCTCCCTGGCTAACAGAGAGGAGTCCCCAGCAGAGAAGGAATGACAGAAGGGGACCGCCGCCATTTGGCCTTCCTTAACGTGGCGGTTCTCCAAGTGTGGTCCGCAGGCCGGCAGTGTCAACATCACGTGGAAACCCCCTGGAAATGCGCCCTCTTGGGCCCTCACTGGGTCAGCACCCCTGGGGTGGAGGGGCAGCGACGTACCTGTCACAGGCCCCCTGGGTTCCCCTGAAGCATGCTCGAGTTTGAGAGCAAGGCGCCTAGAGGGTCCCTAATTAACTAGGATGGACGAAGGCCCTAGGCCTGGGTGCCCAGGGAGGCGGCCACTAGCCATCCGTGGCAACTGAACATTGAGACGTGGCTCGTGTCACCGAGGAACCGGGGAGTCCGACCTTTCTTTATTTCATTGTAACCAATCTAAGTTTGTATTTAAAAACAGAGACTCAGCTCGGTTATTGGAAACACCCAAGCACGCTTAGAACAACTTGGGTACGTGAATCTACGTTTTCAACTGTAAATCTTACAAAACCTAAATACAGGTCAAGTATTTTTGGTGGAATTTCAGTGCCGGGATGGAGATGAGCTGTGCAAATAAAATACACACTGGATTTCAAAGACGTAGTGTGAGCAAAGAAGGTAAAATGTCTCATTCACAATCTTTTTGGGTATTGATTAGGTGTGAAACCATAGCATTTTGGATACATTGGGCTAAATAAAATATATTATTAAAATTATTTTTTTTCCTTTTTTTTTTTAACGTGGCTACTAGAATATTTAAAATTACACACGTGGCTTGCATTACTTTCCTGTTGGCCGGTGCTGTTCTGGGCACTGCTCTGTGGCTTGTAACATCCCAGAGAGAGAGGCACCCAGTATTCGTGCCTTCTGACACTCCCAGGAAGCAGCCTTTGGGAAAAGAAACTGAACTTGAAACTGATTAAGCCTTGCTGACCCATGTGAAACTTGTTTTTGCAGGTCCCAAATGACTGAAGATCATCAACTTCACACAGTTTACCCTAATCCCAATTTACAGGAAATTGAGAGGACCAAGGGACGTGTTACGTGATCCCAGGGGGATGCCAGCAGCAACATCCAGGCCGTGGAGATGCAGTTTTTCCATCAATTATTGGCAAGGGGGAAAAGAGGCAGATTAGAAGATATTAAACACATAGTTGGGGGCCAAAACTGTAAAGAAAACTAAGGAAGGGGCTGCCCTAAAAGTCAAGACTGGGGCCGTCCCCAGGGGGTGGGGAGCACAGGGCCTTGTGTCTGGAGGGGCATGTGCAGGGCATCTGGGATGGCCAGAGGATCTCTCGGGGTTCAGGGGGTGATTATGCTAACTTGCTAAGCGGTACCCAGTTTTTTGGTCGTTTTCCATACGTCTGATCTATTTAGCCATAAAAAATTTTAAAAAGTGAAAGGAAGAGAGAAACCCTGGGTGAGGGATGCTCCCGGCAGCCAGTTGGGGGATGCTCAAGGGCCGTGGGCGGTACCGGAGGGCAGGCTGATGTGGCTGCCGCCTTCCCGCAGCTTGAGCAGGCGGCTGCGCTTGAAGTTGCCCCTGCGTTTGCGGACCCGCGGCTTCTCCTGGCTCAGCTGGCACATGAGCAGGTGCAGCTCGCGCTCCACGATGTCCATCTCGCGCTCGGCCAGCTCCTGCTCCCGCCGCCGCAGCTGCTCCTCCTGGAAGCGCTGCTCCTGCGCCGCCCGCAGCAGCTCCTCCTCGCGGCTCCGCAGCTCCTGGAGGAGAGGCGGCGGCTTGCGGGAGGGGCTTCGCTTCTCCGCCCCTGGGGATGGACCCGGGGCTGCTGGCTCTGGTTGGGGCCTGCCCAGGGGCGTCCTGCTGTGGGGCCAAGTGGGGGTACACTCCAACTCACACTTCACCAGCCAAGCTGGGTGCCAGGGCAGGGGACGGGGTTAGCCCAAAGAAAGGGGTGCCTTTTCTTTTTTCCCCCTTTGATTTTAAATTTTTTAACCTCTTTAATTTGGAAAACTTCAAACATGCACAAAAGCAGAGAGAGAATAGTGCACCCCCATGTGCCCATCATCCAACTTCAATAATGATCTATACTTTGCAAATCCTTTGTCCTGTACCCCGTCCTTCTCTCCTCCCTCTCCTTTTTGCTGTAGTATTTTAAAGCCGACCCCAGCCCTCCTGCAGCATCACTTGTAAGTACCACAGTGCAGGGTGCCTTTTTCTTATTAATCCCGTAACAGCAGGCTGGCTTCTCTTGATATGCAGAAAAGGCTCCCTTGGCCCTGCATGGACCCAAAGACCGGGGTGCAGGGGAAGGGACTCTGGCCCCCCAAGGCATCAGAACTCAGGGAGCTTGCTCCCTCCCTCCCCCCGCGCCCCCCTCACCTTCTCCTTGGTGCGGAGGTCATCGAACATGTGCTGGATCTCTAGCTTCCAGTCCTCCTGCAGCGAGTGGAAGGACTCCAGCGGCATCTGGAACAGGGCCGACTGCTCGATGGCCTCCAGCTGCTTCAAGATGCTGCCGAAATCTGGCCGCCCGTGGGGGTCTGGGTCCCAGCATTCTGGGGTGGGTGGGGGACAGCAGTGGGAGTGGCGATGTCAGGGGCCGTGCTCTGGGGCATCAGCCTGCTCGGTAGAAGGCAGGACACAAGGGACTGTGGACAAACAGCTCCCATGGAGCCGAGGGGAGGAATTCAAAGCCAAATTCCTGGCCATCTTTCACTCTGGGAGAGAAACCTGGGGACCAGCTCCCTGACTGGTGGTCCACTCGGGGATCTGGGAGGAATCCCCGGGCTGAGGAACCTAACAGGCTGCCCTCAAGAGCTGGGGGCCTGGCCAGAACAAGGGTCTGGGGGCCATGGAGCCAACTGCAGGGGAGGCTGTTCCTGGTCCGATGGCTCCAGCCCCTTCTCCCTCACTCCTGGGCCCACTGGTAGGGATGGGTGTGAAGGGGTGGGTTCTGGGCCCGAGGGCGCCTGCCACCCCAAGCTGAGCCTACCCTCTCCACGGGGCCCTGGCTCACCCTCCAGTAGGCGGGCAAAGGGCTCGGGGCAGGTGGAGGGGATGGGCAGCGTCAGCTTGTTCATAGCCACGCCATATGCCACGGCCAAGGCGTCGATTTCACGGTAGGGGACCTCCCCTGTCAGCAGCTCCCAGAGCAGCACCCCGAAGCTGCAGGTGGGGGAGAGGAAGGGGTGATGCCGCAGCCCACCCCAGTCCTCACCTGTGCCCCAGCCCTGCCTCCGGTCCCCTGCCTCAGCCAACAGCCAGCCCTGGCTGATGAGGCCACAAGGTCCTGATCTGACCTCCATCAGCCCAATCTCGATAGACGTGGCGGGGCTGCCTCTCTTCCCTCACTCCTGCCTGAACACCCGCAGTGGCCCCCTGTACCCACTGGGCAAATGTGCCCTCCTCAGCCTGACCTCTGATGACCCCGGCAGCCTTGCCTTTGTGCACTCTCAGCCCCCCTGCCAACCCCAGCTTCATCCTGGAGCCACACTGGAGAGTTGAACAAGCCCTGTTCTTCCTTACTTCTGGCTTTTGCACATACTGTTCGCTTTGTTGAGAACACCCTTCCCTTTCTGTAACTGTCCTTTAAATCACAACTCAGGTGTCCCCTCTGCCAGGAAGGCTTCCTTGGTTCCACAGCCTCCAAAGCTGGGTTAGAGGCCCCTACTCCATGGCCCCCCAGAACCCTGGGCACTTACCTCTAAAAACAAGTTAACACTACTTAACATTTATAAAGCACTCACTCCAGGCCAGCACTGTGCGAGGCACTCTCAGTAACCCTCACAACAGCCCTGCAAGGCAGAAGGTATGGGTATGACCTCCATTTTATCTGACGAGCAGCTGCAGGCTCAGAGAGGTTAAGTTACCTGCCTAAGGTCACACAGCTAGTAAGTGGTGGAGCCACACTCGGACTCAGGTCTGCCTGATGCCCATGATAGTGTCCTTAATGGCTCCACAATGCCAGAGTGCACACCACTGTGCCACAATCACCTGCGTGTCCATCTTCTCCAGTGAGCTGTGCTCCCTCTGGAGCCCAATCCCCATTTTGTGCCGTGCCTCGCATGCGGGAGCGCCCTGTGCCCCCACATCCACACATGCACTCCTTCAACACACACTTATGAAATGTCTACTGTGGGCCAGACACTGTCTGGGCACTGGAACTAGAGACGCCCGCCTGCGCTCACACAGCCCAGCCTCCCCTTTTCGCTCAGGGGCAGCACCGCGGAATCGGAGCTGGGCACAGACCACATGAAATAATGTCCCACCCTCCTTTGCAGCTAAGGCTGCCCAGACGGCAATGGTCCTGGCCACTGGGATGTAGGGGTGTGTGTGTCCTGGGCAACTAACTTCCAGAAGGTGTCCTTAAAGGGAAGGGGTGCTCCTTCCGTCTTTTCTCCTTCCTTCTGGTTGGAATGTGGACACGAAAGCTGGTGCTCAAGCAGCCATTTTGGACAATGAAGTGAACTTGGGAATGGAGGCCACACAAGGTGGAAGAAAATAATAGTGGTTTTCAACTGGAGATAGCATGACACCCTCCCCCTGCCCCACCATCCCTGGAAACCTGTGGGGTTGTTTTGATGGTCACAATAGTGCTACTGATGTTAGGTGGCTGGGAACCATGGATACTTAGTGTCCTGAAAAGTACAGGACAGTACCACACAAGGAAGAATTTCCCTGCCCAGTGTCCGTGACACCCCCGGGAAGGAACCCCGACATAGGACCCTGATTCCCTAACACTGGGGGCACCACACCAGCTCTGGGCTTTACACGAGAGCAAACACTTCAGTCTTATTTCTATTTTGGGTTTTCTGTTCTCACTGCTGAAATACGGCTCCGCTAAATGTTTGTGACCGTAAATGAACGTCTGGCGGGACGCCTGTCAGAACATCCCCCCCGGGGGCTGCACTGCTCTAGTTGGGGCTTCCCGGCTGATCGGTCTGCCCAATGGCCACGACTCTGCTGCTCGGTCCATCTGGAGCCTCAGCCGGGGACTGACCCGGGCTTGGCTCCCCCTCCAAAGGCCGCGGGTCCAAGTGTTTCTGCTGCCACCATCAAGTCTCGCTGGCGATGCCAACAGCCTCCTCGCTGCCCTCCCGCACTCACTCCTGTCCTCTCTGACCCAGCACCCAGGGAGCCTCTGCATTGCGAAATCAGATCCCGCCATCCACAAACGCCTCCAAGGGCTCTCCCTGACACCGTCCAGCTCGCTCCTATGTCAGTTCCTGCCGCTCTCCTCCCGGCCTGCTCTGTCCCAGCCCCACGGGCCTTGTAGCTGTTTCTGGAACATGCCGAGCTGGCTCTCACCTCAGTACCTCCTGCGTGGGAAGCTTCATCCCCCAGACTCTGCTGGCAGGCTCCTGGCAGCCACTGGGAGCTCAGAGTCACAACGGTGCAAGTGCCCCTGCTCAGAAAAGCCTTTCCCAGCGTCGTCCTCCAGCCCGCAGAGGGCTTTCCACCCACCTCCTGGCTCGTAACACTAGCTAATACTTTTTCTGCCACATTGATAAAAATTATTTTACAATTTTCTTAACCTGAAAACAGCTTTTTTTCAGCTTCTTGTGTATTAGTTCATTTATTTACTATCTCTGAGGGGAGAAAACACGTCTGTTTTTATTCACTGCTGTACCCCAGCCCCCAGAGAAAAGGACAGATGCACGGATGGATGGACGGATGGATGGATGGACGAATGAATGAATGGTTGCCTCCAATGGCCTCAATTTCCTATTTGACACGTGGGGGCAGTGGACTGGATGGCGTCTGAGGGGCCTTCAGTGCTGACATCCTATCTCTACACCTCTGAGATTATTACTGGAATCCAGGTCCTCCATGGCCGCCACTTCCGCTAGCAGAACAGACAGCTGCCTTGGGGCCTGGCTGATGGTCTGACCTCACTGGCAGCCCCTGTGCCAGACCCCGATCCCGGCTGCAGTGGGAGACTGTCCCTCCGCCTCTGCCCTCGCCCCCCCCCGCCCCCATTTCTGGGAGGCCTCCCCGGCCCCACCGTCAGCACCTCCAGACGTCACTGCTTTTGGAGAAGAGGGAGAGACGGATGACCTCCGGAGCCATCCAGGCGTAAGTCCCCGCAGCGCTCATTTTGGTGGTCTTGTGCCACTCGCGGGCGAGGCCAAAGTCCGTAATCTTGAGCACCGTGTCTGCGAGGTTGTGGTTCTCGATGGCCTCCAGGATAAGGACTGTGGGGGGGGAAGAAAGGCGGGTCACCCCAGACCTGCTGGGCTGCAGACCCGGGCGTGCTGGCCCCGGCCTCGGCCGGCATCTCCTACATGTTCTTTGTCCCTCCTCCAGCTGCCCGCTCTGCAGCGGCTCCTTTCCTGGCCTGGCATACCACGAGCCCTCCCAGGCCATCTCACTCCTGCCCCAGGCTCCCAAGAGTGGGTAGGGGGCTTCCCCTGGGTCCCCTCCCCTCCTGACACTCAGCTCTAGGGAGCTCAGAGAAAGGTCAACGGCCAAGGGCTTGGTTATCCATGGTCCAGGCCTTGAATTCCCAACCACCCCAGACGTGGGATTACAAACCAGGAGCAGAGGGGACGCATGTGGTGTCCCTGGTCTCTGTCACCCGCTGTGGTGTACTCCCTTCCAGGCCCCAATTCTACTCCTTTCCACGTCACACTGTTTGCCACGGGACTTCACGGTTCTTTCCACTAAAGACGCAGAGCACATGTCCCCATCCTTTACTCTGGGCTGACCATAGGACTTGCTTTGGCCAACAGGACGAGGCAGAAGGGAGAGCGCCAGTTCCAAGCCGAGGCCTAAGAGGCCTCATGTGTCTGCCTGCCCTCAGTGCATCTGCCACCACCACGAGAGCACGCCCCGGCGAGCCCGCTGTGCAAGGAAGACAGCAGATCCTGGAGCAAAGCCCCCCAGCTGAGCCCAGCCAAATGAGTTTACCCTCCCGCTGGCCTGCACATGCATGAGCAGTAATAAATGACTGTCGTTTAGAGACCCCAAGTCTTGGGGCTGATTTGTTACACAGCAGTATCGTGACAAAATCTGATATATCACTCAAGCACAGTGAATTGTTCCAACTCACCTGCTGCCTGGGGTCATTGCTAACAACAAGAAGAATCAGGTTCATGTTTATCAGGAGTCCGTTACACGCCAGGCACTGTGTAAGCCCCTTCCATGAGTTAACTAGCAAGCAACCCATTTTATTGACTAGCAAACTGAGGCTCAGAGAGAGGAAGTCACTCGGCCACGATCACACAGCTAGAAAATGTTGGGGCAAAGAGCTGAAGCAGGTCTGTCACCAGAGCCCAATCTCTCAACTACCAGCTTCTGTCAAACAGGGGCCCCAAAGTGTCCAGCGGCCTGCCTGGGTTTGGATCCCAGCTCTGCCCCTTATTAGCTGCATAACCTTGTATCGTTTACTTTATCTTTCTTAACACCTTTAAGATTTCTTCTCTGTTAACTGGAGAGGAGAAGAGTGTTTACCTTATTAGGGTTGTAGTAAAGATTTATTGCCTGAGGCAACAGCAGGCAATTTAAAAACGTTAGCTATTGTTAGCATGGGATGTCGCCATCACTGATCCTTATTTCTCCACCTTCGTTGTGACCATTCTTGGCTACTTCTCCCGTCATAACAACAACAAGGTAATCCTACTACCATGCCCATTCGGCAGATGAAGAAACTAGGGTTAGAGAGATGGGTGCGTTGCCCAAGGTCACACGGTTGGTAAATCTTGTCCATTCTTTTTTTTTAAGATCGGCACCTGAGCTAACATCTATTGCCAATCATTTTTTTTTTCTTCTTCTTCTCCCCAAAGCCCCCCAGGAAATAGTTGTATATTCTAGTTGTGGGTCCTTCTAGTTGTGGCATGTGGGACGCTGCCTCAGCATGGCCTGATGAGAGGTTCTATGTCCCTGTCCAGGATCCGAACTGGCGAAACCCTGGGCCGCCAACACGGAGCGCGTGAACTTAACCACTCGGCCACAGGGCCAGCCCCTTGTCCGTTCCTTGAAGCCTGACTCAAATGCCACCTCCTCATGGAAGGCTTGCGTGACTCTCTAGCTTGTGACTCCACCTTCCAGAAGTCCTCCCTTTTTGGGTCCCCACCTCTCCTGTTTGTGGAGTGACCCTGTGACAGAGGGAACACCCCATGGACTTACACTTTATTTCTGCATCTCCCAAGCTGGGCCTAAATCAATTCCCTTTAAAAATATACATCTGTTCATGTCACCACCTGCTCCAAACCCTCCAATGGTTTCTACTCCATTGAATGAAACACCCCAAGTCCTCACCACAGCCCGCAAGGCCATCATGATCTGGCCCCCGTCTACCTTTCCGACATCATCTCCTTCCTCCTCTGCCTCACTTCTGCTCTTCCAAGCCCTCTGGTCTCCTGACTGTGTCTCTGACAAGGCCCACTCATTCCTGCCCCAGGACCTTTGCTCTGCCGAGCGCTTTGTAAGGCTGGTCTTCTTTGCCCAGTTCTCTGCTCTAATGATGCCTTCCTTGACCATCTGACCCAAAGAGCTCCTCTGCCCCATCCTTAATCTGCTTTCTTTCCTTCAGAGTCTGGGATACTCTGAAATTTTATCCATCCAAATATCAATCGTCTATTTCTGTCCACTAGACTCTAACTTCCGTAACGGGGGAATCTTGCTTCATCCACTCTGTAATCCCAGAGCCTAGGACAGTGCCTAGTACACTGAATTCTGCTTAAGAATTATTGGGTGAATTAACCAATGAATGAGTGACATCAGATGAGGAGCCCCTCGGGGAAGGATGAATGTGGAGGCCGTGTCCTCTGTCTCAGGCATGGAGCAGTCCCATTGCCTGGGCAGCAAGCCTTGGCAAAAGAGCCCCAGGAACCCTTTGTCCAGGTGGCACCGGCTACAGAAAAACTTGGGGGTGTGGGGGTGTGTCCTTACACCCCACCTGCAGGCTGTGTCTCAGCAGGGTGAGGACGGACTGAGAAGGGGCCGCAGCCTTCAAGAGGAGCATGCCAGCAGTCCCGCCTCCATCCACCCGGCATTTCAGGGGCGTTCGAGCACGAGCATCCACGAAGGCAGGGACCGCCTGTGGCTGTCTTGCTCAATTCCCCAGCCCTGGCACAGGGCTTGGCCCAACTCCGGCACTTGGCAGCTCGCTGGTGGGTGCACAAACGCCAGGTCTGAAAGGTAAGGCATCCCTCTGTTCTAGGGGCTTGCAGTCGGGGGGGCAGAGAAGGATACAGCAACAAACTTACAAAAATAGTGGGATGGCGTCAAACAAATTTCAAGATGTAGAACTGACAGGAATCAGAAACAGATGAGATGGAAAGGGAAAATGCTCCTATTTCATGCGAGGACAGGGAACATGCTGGCCTCCTTCGCGGTGGAGCCCTCTTGCTCAGCACATGACCCGGCCCAGTAAATACCAAATGAAAGAAAGAATAAATAAGCGGCAATGAAAGGGAGCGAGATGCGGCAGAGGAAGGATGGGAGAGCCAAGAAGTTACGATTTCCCCCTGCTCTATCCTTTAAGGCCCAGGACAGGGTCTGGCACACAACAGGAGCTCCAGAAATATCTGGAGAATGAAGGAAATCTCTCGTTTGTGAGTACCAGAAGGGCCGACACCACGGCTGTCTCGGTCCCTGTTGGGCTCCCACTTAACAGGTGTTCAATTAATATTTGCCATCATCCTGAGAAGCTCCTTGATCTAGATGTGGGTCCTGGGGACCTTCCTGTCCACCTGGCCCCAGGCCCCACTCAACCAACCAATCATCTCTTGAGAACCTGTGACAGGCCGGCCAGCCTGCAAGCTTTCCCGTAAGCCACATCTCTTTTCCTCCTGCCTCATCTTGTCCACTTTGCCTTGGCCAGCTGGGAGGAGGCCTAGGATGACTCCAGGAAGTAGTTCTCAACAGGGGGCAATTTTGCCCCCCAGGGGACCTTTGGCAATGTCTGGAGACATTTTTGGTTGCCATAACTGGTGGTGGCAGGCGGGGTATGCTAATGGCATCTAGTGGCTAGAGGCCAAGGATGCTGCTAAACCACCTACAATGCACAGGACAGTCCCCTACAATCATCTGGCCCCAAATGTCAACAGCGCCCAGGTTGAGAAACCCCGGCTCTGGGCTAGGGTCTTTCTGTCCCTGCCTGGTGGACTCTGGCATCATGGTTGGACAGTGAGCGCCATGAGGACCGGCTCTGCATCTGTCCTGTTCTCAGCAGGAGACGCAGGGCCCATCACAGTGTCACAGTGTTCATGGATAATTCTTTACGGAGCTACTGTGACTCTGCAGCCTGGAGGGCAAGTAGTCCTTCAACCTTTCTGAGCCTCCGTTTTTCCACCCGGCCCTGAAGACATACTGCTGCCCCTTCTCATCCCAGGCAGCGTCTTCAGGTGTCCCCTTTTCCCACCACCTAGGCTTGGCCTCACAAGGTTCTGCAGAAGCAAGTTTTTTGGGGGGAGGACACCACTTACTGTTGATGGACTTGAGGTCCCGGTGGATGATGGGCACAGGGGCATCATTATGTAGGTAGTTCATGCCCCGGGCCACCTGCACGGCCCAGTTGACCAGCACGTGAGGGGGCACCCGGCGACCCGCCAGCACCCTGCTCAGCGCGCCCCCCCTGGCATACTCCATCACCAGGCAGAGGTGTGGGGGGCTGAGGCAGGCGCCTCTGAGGGCAATGATGTTGGGGTGCTGCAGGGCTCCGAAGAGCCGGGCCTCCTGGCGCACCTGCTCTGCTGTCAATGCCGGGTCCCGTTCAGGGTCCAGCCGGGCGGCCTTGACGGCCACCTCCTCGCCACGCCACAGGGCCCGATAGACCTTGCCGAAGCCCCCTACCCCGATGATCTCCTCGAGCTGCAGCTCGTGGAAGGGGATCTCCTGGGGCAGCTGCAGGCCCGCGGGCGCGGCGGGGGGGCCGGGGGTCACGTAGTTGCTGGGGAAGACGCCCACGCGGCCGCTGGGTAGCCGCCCGGTCCACCAGCCTTCGTCGCCGGACACGGCCCAGTCCTGGGAAAGCACCTGGACGCGGTCGCCCCTCCGCAGGGTCAGCTCCTCGTCGCCCGCCGCCTCGTAGTCGAACACAGCGGTCCAGACGGGCCCCGCGGGGGTCGCGCCCCACTCCTTGGCCGCCCCCCCCACCTCCTCCTCCATGGGGGAGGGGCCGGGGGCTGCGGGAGGCCGCTTCACACAGGCTGCCCGCGGGATGCAGAGGGCGGGCCCCGGCGGCCAGGATCGGGGGAAGTCCCTGCGGGTTCTGGGGGGCTCCTGGGGGCCATAGCTGGGGGGCCCTCCGCAGGAGCGAGAAAAAGCCTCCTTAAAAGGGCAGGGTCGTCCCCTCTGATTCAGCTGTCCAGGCGGGGCCGGGTGGGGGTAGGGCGACGGGTTCACCGATCGCCCCCAAATGTCAGGGCGCTAAGAGGGCCTGGACGCGCGGCTCCCGAATTCCTGCCGGGGCCCGCCGGTGGGGGACGAGGGCGAGGGAAGCAGGCAGCCCCCTTCCCCGCGCCTCTCACCCCGCGCAGCTCCACCGGCGGCCCCCGGCTCCGCATCCCGGGCCACGACCGCCGGGCGGGGCGGGGGTGGCGGGGGCCGGGGGGCGC